TCATGTACCTGAGATGCATACGAGGGCAAATTTAAAAATTTCACCACAACGAGAGAAAAACAAACGGGCTCAACATTTAATTCGCAGATGATTATTGTAATCGAGCTTCAGTTAGTTGAGCACACGTCTTTACCGCTAGACTTGTCAGTTATGCATTTTGCATACTCCAAAACCCATTGAAAATAGCATCAGCTACTAAAAAAGAGAAGAGTAGAATTATTTAATTAAGTATCAGCTCTGCATTGGGCTGCAGGATATCTTCTAGCTGAATACTCTCGACTAGAGTGGTCTTACTTAAGCAGAAGGCGACATGAGATTATACGTTGATCTGTGAATATAGGAGGGCTCACTTATATATTTACTTTATTTTGTGTATTGATATTGTATATAGTTTACTCAATCATCTGATTACCATGGCTATAATGTACATAAAGTCACATTGAAAACTTCCAACTTCTCTTAAAATATAACCAAGTTCGTATTGTATAAATTTCCATATATAGCAATGCTTGGTGAAAAGTTAAGTACTCTTCATGAATTTGATTTATTGTACACTGAATATATGCCAGTTATAGTGCTAAAGTAATATACACTCATTAGCCTCCTCAGACATACCTATATCAAGCACTTTCTGTTGCGCTGCTTTCCTTTTCGCATATAAGGCAAACCGCTCGAAATGCCAATTTGTGACTCTAAGGGTTGCCCTCGCGTAAAAGCTTTCGCTCTGTTGGGTGTTTTGCAACAGTGGCAGGCTGGCTGCTGGCTGCTTGCTGCATCGAGTGGCTAGGTCCCAGTCGCCGCCTCGGCGTCAGCCTCAGCCTCGCTGTTGCTTGCTTTCCAATTGGGGGAGAAAGTACGCGCAAAAGAGCTGAAAGTGGATCAGCGACAGAAAAAAAAAAAAAAAAAATAATAATAAACGTAACCAAACCGCGTGGCAGCATCGCGTGAGTCCCAGACGCAGATGCAGCCACCGCAACTGAAACAGCAAAAGCAAAAGCAACAACTACTCCTACAAAGATGCCAAAGTTGTTGTCGAATGAAAGCCCACGCGAATGCGTCGTCCGGTTGCTGCTCGCTCGTGTTGTGGCACCACCAACACAACAGCAACAGTAGCCGACGCAGCAGCAGCAGCAGCAGCTGCAGCAGCAGCATCCTCAATGCATCAGCCATCAGCCACCGAGCACAATTCGTGTCTGCATAATCATGGAGCGCGGACTCTTTCAATTGATTTTCCATGTGACGCAGCACAATTTGCTTGCCGCGCCGGACCGGACTCCGAGTCCGGCTTATTTTGTTAGACTTTTGAATATGGCGCTCACGATCATCAGTGCGAGGAGCCATTCAGATCTGTGAGAGTCTGTCGAGTCCGTAAGTTGACAGTCAGTCAGATGCGCGAGGGTTGCCCCTTCAATATATCTAGCAATTAACTATAACTAAGAATTTTAACTATAAATTGATTGATAAATGATTATGATATTGAAATATTAGTATATTATTTCTTTAGTGCATTGGTTTAATATTATATTTAGTTGTTTTCAAAAGTCTGATTATATATGTACTATCAAAACGAGATGATATAACACTTATGTAATAATTTAGCTAATGGACACATTCGAATTTCAATTCTGATAAGCTCTGAAATCCTCGAACAAGAAAGATCACTTAAGCCAATAGTGCAATAATTTTGTTGTTGCCTAAATCAAGTTAGGTTTTTCTGAAGCAAAAATGTAATGTTGTAGACTGTCCCATTACAATAAATTAGTTAGTCTACCTTAGTCAAGTGTTGAAATTCGCTGCATACCAAAGTTGGGTGTTCTGGTTTCGCTTTTGAAGCTGAAGTGGAAATATGGTATGCAACAATTTTTGGGCAACTTTATAATCGGCACTTAATTGATTTCAACTTGCTGCTGAACAAACGACCCTCGTGTCGTTGCAGTAGTCGCATAGTCGCAGCCGTGGGCCACTTAACACTCGGCGACTGACGGGGAGGGTGACTGATGCAGCCTCGATGCAGCATGTTATATGAAAAATGCTGTTGAACTGGTTTGAGTGTTGCGTTTGCCTCTCATGGATATATACATCTCTCTCTTTCTTTCTCTTTGGGTATGTGTGTGTGTGTGTGTGTGTGTGTGTGTGTAACAGTGGTGCACCTTAAATTCAGTTTCATTATTATGATTTCAATGCAAGATTGGGCTTTAGCTGCGATCAACTGGCGGCCAACGCCATTGAACATTGGCAGTCATTTGCAGTAGATGTTGCTGTTGCTATTGCTATTGCTGTGGCTGCTGCTGTTACTGTTGCTATTGCCACAAAAAGTGGTGCAAATGAAACGGGTTATCTAATTGCAGCTCAAACTGTGGCAAGTGGTGGCGAGTTGACTTTTGTTTTCTATTCAGAGCAAGCCTTCTCCACATCGTCGTCGTCGCATGTTGTGCATACAAAATGTGGCTGCTGCTGCTGCTGGGAAAGCAAGGGTGGTCGGGTTACCGGCGGCAGCAACTGGAGCCAAAGACAGAGCCAAAGCCCATGACAGCGATCAGGCTACCCGAGTTGGGTTGCTGTTGTTGTTAATCGCACCAAATTTCAATTTGAATTTCACTTTCTTTTTCGATACGCTCACTTGGGTTTTTGCCTTTCGAACTTTTGTTTTTTGTGCTTTTATTTTTTGCTCTCTCTCCCACTCTCTTCTTAATTTCTTTTGTTTGGGACTGCAGCAACAGGCAACGACCATGAAAAATTTTGTGTAGAAAGGGCTGGGTCGCTATACGAAATAAATAACATCTTTATGTACCTACCAAAAGATCAGATCCAATGTCTGTTATATAAATGAATAAATGTACATAAATCTGATTTTATCTATAGATGTATATTTATGAGATTTATGTTAATATATGATTTAGCGACATATTACAGCAAATATTTGTTACAATGTTTATTTATACAGAGCTTTAGATGAATTACTCTACTAAAGGAAACGAACAAGAACTGATCTAAAACTTATAAGAAAACCTTTAACTGCTTGGTGACAAACCATTTAACTTTAGTATTACTTTCGTTCATTTATGAAGCTTAATAGCTATGAACTGAACTTTAAATTTCTGGATCATTCGACAGAGAAGATGAACAGTACTTTGGAACTGCCAGCTTTAAACTTGCACAATAGAGATAATTGTTTATAACACAACAGTGAAGCAAACCAATACAAAATTCTATAAGAACTGTATACAAAAGCATATACATATGTATACTTTAGATTTACGGTCATATTAGAAAGAATGAGACACGGAATTCAGGTACTCATTAGAAGCAATAGCTCCGAAAAGGTATGACACATGCCAAAACAGATGCGACTCTTTAAGTATCCATTTATTCTTCAATTTGACGTTTCTTACTTCTTTTTTTCGGTTTAGCACGTTCGCAAATGCCACTTGTGTTTTATATATTTGACGGTTTTGTAACCCATTTATCTATGAATAGTCACATTTGTGTGCTCAAGTTTTTGACACCCCCGCCACAACCTGCTGTTGTCTGTTTTTTTTTTTTTTTTTTTTTCCCCTGGTAATTACTCATAGGTTTGGCGAAATTATCGACTGAGTTGTATGTGTGTGGGCGGATGTAGCTTTACTGGTAAAAGTTTCGTAATTCTGCGGTGCTCTACTCCTAAAACCCAAATGAAATACATAGTTGGCATTGAGTTTATTGCCAATATTTTTGTTAGCTGTTTTTTTTAAATACATTATTTAGTTACTATAAACATTCCTATATACCTACAAAAACAATATTACATTTTTTTTCTTTTTTTTTTAATTTGTTGCATTTTGTGAAACCATAAAAAAATATTTGAAATCTACTGAGGAGTATCCTCCACAAGCTGAGCAATTAAAATGCAATGCAAATTTAGTTAATTTCGATGTTAGAGGCCGTTAAATGAACAAAAAAAAGACCTAAGTCAAACTTGAACGCAGTCGCCCAACAACCAAAGCAACAACAAAATTATGAAAAATCCCAAAGTTTATTAAAAAAAAAAGTAAAAACAAAAAAAAAGTAGTGAAAGTTTTTCATCGTCTTTCGTCCGTTTGCACAAAATTAACAGAAAAGCAAAATACGAAAAACAATCGTAGTGTCTTCCAAATCAAAACAAAACAAAATTCAAACTCACACACTAGACACAAACACTCACACACACACACCGGCCAAGTGAAACAAAAGCGAAAAAGAAAAAGCAACAACTGCGCCAACAACGCCGCTCGTGAGAGTCAATCGAGTACGAAAAGCTCGCGATCAGCTGCTGAGCAAACGACAGTGAGCAAGCAAGCAAAAACAACAACAGCACCAGCAAACTGCAGCAACACGTTTGTCCCACGGACGGAACATACGCAGACACGCTCACGCATAACGACGCCAAATAGGCAGGCGATAATAGAATCGGCAAGCAGCAGAAGAAGCGATAGCGAAAATAACAGCTACATCCCCAAAGAAAATGGTGTAAGCCGATGCAGCGGCTTCAGCGGCAGTTGACGGCAACAAAAACGGCGAATAACAGGATTGGTGGTGGTGGCGGGTTGGCACGCTGCGTCGTGACCCTCCCACACCCGCACGCGCACCCAAAGTCACAGGCACAGGCACAGGTCGTAAGCAGTTGGAGAAATCCAGGTATAGTGGAAATAAATACAACGCCAGTGACGCCGCCACCTGCCTGTCTGTCTGCCTGACTGCCATTTGCTAGCGCACCGAAGGCGGAAGCTATTTGATTGCTTTTGCATGTCACTTTCACCGCTCGCGAACACGATCACAACAACTACAACAATAGTAAAGGCAGTGAAGAAGAGATCGCAGTGTGTCAGTGGGGTGTGCAGCTGTATACATACATATGTGTGTGTATGCTCGTGTGTGTGCGGGTGTACGGGCGCTAATTTCATAATCGACTCTTTAACTTTTCCCCTCAACCAGTTCATTGAATATGCGACTAACGTTTGCTCTCTTTTCTCGTTTCTTTACAGTTACCGTCAATCCACCGCCCCAGAGGCCATGGCTGCCGCTCGCTAAGCCCAACAAATCGCGACCAGCCTGTAAGTAAATGATTAAATCGTAAGGGAAGACGATTATCAAAGTACTTTCCAATGAACTAACTACATATGTATGTATGTATACAAGCATGTACATATGTTTGTAGTCATTCAAAAATCACGCAGTTGCATTAATAGACAAGCTTAATGCAATCGCATGCAGTTTTGTGTAAGCACTCAATAATTAGCTAACTACCAAAATAGAAGCACAAAATATGTATAAATATATCGATATATATTTGCTGTATCGATATTCAGATAATATTTAAAGCTGGACCACTGACTGTGTTCTTGGTCAGTGGCCGGACATTATTAATCTGAACATTTGTCACATTTGATATTGGCCAATGAACTCTTTTTGCTTTTCAAAGTTTATGGTATTCAATTACCTCATAATTTTTAAGGTTCCCATATTAACTATAATATTAAAGAAAATTCTAATATATAATATACAACTACTTGTTAATTTGCAGGCATATTTACGGTTATGTGTTACAATGTGCTATGTGAGAAATATGCGACGCGGCAAATGTACGGATATTGTCCATCGTGGGCACTGGACTGGCAGTATCGGAAGAAATCTATTATCGACGAAATAAGGCATTATGCGGCGGACATTATTAGCTTGCAGGAGATCGAGACTGAACAGTTCTATCACTTTTTCCTGCCCGAGCTGAAGAACGATGGATACGAGGGCATCTTCTCGCCCAAGTCGCGTGCCAAGACAATGTCGGAAATTGAAAGAAAATATGTTGACGGATGTGCGATATTCTTCCGAACATCAAAGTAAGTCAAGCTTAGATTGTTATTCGAACACAAATTAAAAAAAAAACATTTACTTGCAGATTTACGTTGATCAAGGAGCACCTAATTGAATTCAATCAGCTGGCCATGGCCAATGCGGAGGGCTCGGACAACATGCTAAATCGTGTGATGCCCAAAGACAACATTGGTCTGGCCGCCCTGCTTAAAGTGAAGGAGACGGCCTGGGAGCCAATGTCCGAGGTAACGCAGATCTCACAGCCGCTGCTCGTGTGCACCGCCCACATACATTGGGATCCCGAATTCTGTGACGTAAAGCTCATACAGACCATGATGCTGAGCAATGAACTGAAGACGATCATTGACGAAGCCAGCCACAGTTTCCGGCCTGGCCACAAAAACGACTCAAACAGTGTTCAGTTGCTGCTTTGCGGCGATTTCAATTCGTTGCCGGACTCGGGCGTGGTGGAGTTCTTGGGCAAGGGGCGTGTTGCAATGGATCATTTAGACTTCAAAGACATGGGCTACAAGCTGTGCCTGCAACGGTTACTCTCAAACGACACCAATGAGTTTACGCATTCCTTTAAGCTTGCCTCGGCCTATAGCGAGGACATTATGCCGCATACCAACTATACGTTCGATTTTAAGGGCATCATCGATTATATTTTCTACACTAAGACCGGAATGGTACCGTTGGGCCTGCTGGGACCTGTTTCCACTGACTGGCTGCGCGAAAACAAAGTGGTCGGCTGTCCGCATCCACATATTCCCTCCGATCACTTTCCACTCCTGGTTGAACTGGAGCTAATGCACACTGCCAGCCAGCAGGCGCCACCAAATGGGCTGATCAATCGACGGTAGCAATAGACACGGCGCGGTAGGCCAACGAATATGGTGGTAACAACGACAACAACCACCATTCGGACAGCCTCCGGGAGTGGCGGAACGCTGCAGTTCAGTTATCCGGGATGCAGCAACAGCGGCAACAGCAACAGCAGAAACTCCAGCAACAATCAAAACAATAGCAATAGCAACAACAACAATAACAGCAACAGCAGCCACCGCCCAGCCACCCATGGATCAATACGGAAACCGCAAACCACGCCAACCATCGGATGAGTCCAAATTGGGAAGAAACACAAAAACAAAACACAACATACCTCTTTTTCCCCCCATCAATCACCAAAAACAAACAAAACAAAAGCAAAATACGACCAATTTCAACGTCGAGGGCGCCGTTCATTAATAATTCAGTTGTATTCACTTATGAGTTCTAAGATGACGAAGTTTTAGGGGATCCGCTTCTTTGTGCGCTGGCTCGTCAAGTGCGTTAACAATCCGACGCCCCATGGATGGACGATAGGATATCTTCAAATTCGACCGATTATGCTATGGAGGCGCTATGACACGCAAACGGAGCTGCGGACCTGTCTATAAACATATATTTACTTGCTGCTCTTACACGCCGCGTTTCTCGTTCTATTTTATCAATTTTAGTTTCAGTTTTAGCATCGAATAAACTATATAAATACACATAATTAAATTACGTTCTTGTAAAACACAACATTTAGCATATTTCATAAGCTGACTCGCAAATATATATATACATACATACACACACACATGCATACATAATAGACTCACAACAAAAAGAAAATAAGCTAATTTTAAGCAAAAAACTATTTTGTATAAATTAAGCAAAAAGAGAAAAAAGAAAAAACAAAGTTAAAAAAAAAACGATTTAAAAATACAATTGATGATAATTTTCAAAATTGCCTTAATTCGCAAACAATAACTGGGCCACAAAAAGGATTATAAAACTAAATATACATACATATATACTATAAAATCGTTGAACGAATACATACATAGAGCTGCGTTCTCTAAACATAATGTACATTCAGATTTATGCATATACATATATAGGTATATATATATACAGTTATGAAGTCTGCAATTTTGAACTAAGAAATTACAGTAAGAGCATAATATAGTACATTTGTGACAGAGGGGACAGGACAAATTAAATATATATATATATATACATATATATTATGCATTATGTACGAGAGCAGCAAAAAGAAATTCTAAATATTGTTAACACGCAGTATGGTATCGTACGTAATCAACGAAAAGGAAAAACCAAGCGAGCAGCATACGCATAATTTTTCAAAAATACATTTTGAATTTAGCAATAGCCAACAATAGGATATAAATGTTAAAAATTAAACAAAAATATCGGTTTGAGAGCAACAACAGGTTCTATATAGTGAATATTAAGTGTATAATTCTTGACAACAAAATCAAATTCATCAATTTCATTTATGGTGCGGCGAATCAATAATGAAAAGGAAACTGCAATTAGATTAAAAAGCAAAGATAAAAAATTAAATAACAAGCGTATTTTATTTACAAAACACAAGAATAATGCAAACCGCCTATAGTCAATGTCTAAATGGATTCCTTAAGGAGTACTTTCAGTGGCCAATGGAAATGCTGGGCCTATAGCGTTTGCTGCTTGCAGCTTGGCATTGATAGCTCCCCAAAGTTCGGAATTGCCATGCTGTAGCGTCTCCATGTTGCCAATCATATAGAGACCCCAACGAGCTCGCGATAAGGCCACACAAACGCGGTTTGGTAATCCGAGAAATCCAATCTTTCCGGCCGTATTGCTGCGCACTAGCGACAGTAGAATAATGTTTGCTTCCAGGCCTTGATAGCTATCCACACTCGTAACCAAATATCTATTTTGCCTCTTTTTCCTTAGTAGTGATTTAATGTATTCAACTTGGGCATTGTAGGGCGATAGTATTACAAGCTTGCTGGGATCATATCTCAAATGTTTCATTAAGTTCATCAACTCTTCAGCTTCATGTTTGTTTATATAGGACGAGTCAATCTAGAATTCAGAAGGATATAATTAGCAGGCAATTCAAAGCAACCAATCAATACAAATATTCAAACCATCTGCTCCTCGGGATGCGTATGATTGACAAAGAACATGTTCTTTGTCATTTTTGGCACATTTGGGTAGGCCTGCACAGAATCATCGGTGATTAGCTTGTCGTAGAAAATGGGTACCAGAAGCTCAGCAATACAACTGCGCATACGATACTGCACATTGAGAACGCTTGCGGGGAAATTGTGTGTAATTAGGCGCTCGAAGAGCGATACTTGAAGTCCTTGCTGCGTATAGTTTCCCGTATGTGGCTGCAGCTGCTTGTGATCGCCAATCAGTATAACATGCTCTGTGTAAGGCGTTAGGCATGCCAGGATATGCGGTTCAGCTATCTCGGCAGCCTCCTCAAAGATGAAGCATTTGCTTTCAAGCAGACGAAATAAAAAGTTGAGCCGTGCAGCACATGAGGTTGTCATGGCTAACAGAGCCTTATCGCGAGCCTGATGAAACTGGAATATTGTGCGCACCGTATTTATCTTTTCGGCAATCAGTTCCAATTGCTCTCGTGTCGACTGTATTTCCAAATAGGCAGGTTCGGAGCCATCAAAGTCGGCATGCAAAGTCTGCAATCGTTCAAACTGTTCCTTAAACTCGCACTTTACCAACCACCATAACCGTTTGAGGCGCGGCGGCACAAGGGAATCCTCGGTCATTAAGCGCACATTGTATTTTTCGATTTCTGGTAAACGTGATTGATTTCCAAAGCGTACAATGCTGTCCGTGTACTGTGCGGCCTTCAGCAAGAATTTATCCAGCGAGTCATTCGTGTAGGTCAACACAACAATGGGTCCCGATTTAAGACGCTCGGCATTCTGCAGCAGAGTGTTAACCAGCTCTACGGATAAATGCGTTTTGCCTGTGCCCGGTGGTCCTTGTATAATGCAGAATTCGTTGCGAAAAGCAGCACCTAAAGCAGCTCGTTGTGATTGATTCAGTTTCGTCTCCAGCGGCGGCTCAGCTACCGTAAATGGCGCTTTGTAATAAGTTAATTGAATATCTGGTCGTATATAAGCCGGTGGCCGTACATCAATCTGCCAAATTTCAATGATTAATGATTACGTAAGCAAATTTAGCGTAGTCCACTTACTTCACCCTCGACAATGTAGCGTCGCATAGGAAAATTATCCGCACTGCAGGTACTTAGATAGTTGTGGACACGTAAATAGGGCTCAAAGAATACCGGTGTCTCGAACATAATCAACGTTTTGTCATAGATATTACCAATATTGTACTGCTTGACAATCTCCACGCTTCGCTAAAGAATATTTTAATTGAGAAACTGATCATCAAAGGGTGATTACAACAAACTTACATATCCTTGAGTTATCATATTGGGGCTAGTATACGCTACAGTGGCTAGAATTAGGTTATCAAAATCAAAGCTGGTGGTGAAGCACAGCAAAGTTCCACCCTTAACATTTTTTAAATACTTGATTTCATCTTCAAGAGGTGCAACCAATTTCATGAAAATTAGACTATTTCGGTCTGCTTCCTTAAATACTGGATTCAGTATTAGCTGTGTCTGGGGGAAAAGTAGATTTTGCTTCACCAATTCGTCGAGATTATTTTTGGAGCGCAGACGCTGTACGTATTTACGTAATGGCTGCATAAAGTCCTCACACAGCATTTGACGGTGCCAGTCTATGTATCGAGCGACGTCGACAGTGTTGGGTGCAGGTGCAGTTTTAGCTACGGTATCGACGGCATCAGTTCGCAATAATTGATCTAGATTAGGATAGATTTCGTTCTTTACAGAAACAACATTGGGCAGAACCTGCAAATCTTTGGCGAATTCCACACATAGCGGATGCTCTAATAGCTGAGGGATTTGACAACTGGAGATCAACGTTTTGAAATGTTCAATTAGTTCGTATCCAGATGACTGCAGTTTACCCATCCTGTGAGCACGAATGAGCAAATTTTTAATGCCACGCAGCAACAGTTGAGTTTCGTCATCCAAACTATATTTGGAGTTTGATTCAAAGATTTTCAGGGCAAGTCGTTTAATGTGCTCGAAGAGCGCAGATTGCGTGGCAAAGCCAGAGAGAAATTGATCATCAAAACCGCCCAACTCCAATTGACAAAGTATTGTCAGTATTTGCACATATTGGACAACACGTTTGTGAGAATCATTGGACATTATCTGATCCTTGAACAGATTACGCGGTCCGGACATCAAGTAAAGAAATATTTCGAGTGCCGTCATCTTCAGTACCTTAGCAAATTCAGCGGTAGTAAAACGACCGGGACTATTAGCATCTTGTGGATCATCGAAACTATGTTGTTGGAGATAACTGTCTATTAAACATTGATATAACATATTTCAAAATTACATTCAACTTTCATTTTAGTTTTATTTTCTTACTAGGTTTGTCGCGAAAGTCAATGCGCTCCTCGTGTGTCTCATTGACAACTTGTTGCTTTAGTTGTTTCTGCAGGTTTTCCACTAGTTCATCCTCGTCCTTGTTGAACCAATCGTCATCAGAGTCAGACATAGCGAAAATTTTCTTGTCTACGTGCTTCAAGCTCCACAAATTTAGTGGGAATACCGGGTTTTGTATGCAGTTTTAGAGTTGCCTATCGTTTCATTTAGATAATAGCGATGTGCCATATTTCGATCAACATATTGATAACAAGTATTTTATAAGTAAGTCACGAGTGCGATTAATACTTTTGAAAATTGACTTTTCTACCAAAGTTGTCAAACCTGTGCTGAGTTTTTTAAAACAGCAGTTTGTGAACTTTTACTCAATCAAAGAATAAAAGTTACTAAGTAAATTTCGCATTTAATATTCGTGTGCTTATAAATACCTCACCCAATTGGCTGAGTATAAACAAAATTTCGCCATATTCGGTATTATAGTCTTGGTCACACCAAAAACCATTGCGATCATCGACGTGTGCGCGAAATTTATAGATTTGACAAGCTTTGATAATACAGTAATAACTGTATAATAATAAAGAAGAGCAAGTGTCAAGTTAGTATTTCAAAACACATTTTTTTTTTTCACTGCAGCAAATATAACAATTTATTTATTATATATTATCTTTTACATTATACACTATACTTTATTAGTTTAATTTATGTATCGGGGAAAAACTGAATATAATCATTATGGTTGAACTTTTTGGAGAAGATTACGACTGCTGGGAATGGTTTCAGGCCGATAAAGAAAAAATATTGCGAAGCCTAACACGCAAAAATGCCAACGAACGTCATCAGGTGCAGGGACAAAGGCGTCATTGTAATTATTGGAATCGTGCTAGGGCCGTGGTGCCATCCAAAATTCCAACCGATGGGCTTCAAGAGATCCTAAATCTGCAGCCCTTGGGCATGTTTCTCTATTTGGCAACTGAAATCGAACCAAATTTCTTCATCGATCAAATAGGTGCTAATGATAATATCGATCGGGTATTAATTTATACGCGCATTTTGGTTACTTTGTGCGAACTTGAGTTGCCTGGCTTTCACAATGATATGCTTAGTAAATTTGCTGCGTGTACTCCACTCATTGAGCACTACGAAGAATTGGTCCGTAAACTATGCACTAAAAGCTATCGGACTATGTGGACTGATATGAATCGTGTGGATAGCATTATTAGCAATATGCAAACACTTTTGTTGCAGGCTCAAAGGGCTGATGTGTTGGATGAGAACGGCATGGACATCCTATTTAAAATTTGGACTAACTTGAAGAACAATAATAATCCAATAATAGAAGAGCGTCCGATATGTCAAGAATTTCTAGAGCGGCTTCACGGTCTTTTTGCTGTCGATCTGGATACATTATCGGCGCCAAACCCAGCTGCTGAGGTACATTTTCTTTCATATTAAACAACATCTAAACTTCTTTATTTGTATAACAGATATACCCTAGTCTAGAGGAGCTTAAGCAATGGCTAAACGAGAATGGCGAAACCAGCATCCATGCTGCGAAACTAACAATGAGCTTTACTAATACGACACATTACATAAATAGCCAACGCTTGTTTCTTCGTCAGCAGTTTTTGATTCCACTTCGGGAATTGGTGCGGCGGATCCATAGCAAGCGCAATCTTCAGAATTTGATGCCGCTTCAGATTGCTTTTGAGGGAGTGCAAATTAAGCTGAATAATAATTTTTCAAACGCACATAACAGCAAATTGCTATTTGTTGATATTTTGGCTATGCAGCGTAAAAATACTTCTAATCAGGATGTTCAATGTGAGAAATCTTTAGAAGAGGCTTTGTTACGACTTAAAAATGGGACTTTACTTTGCTTTACAACCAGCTACGATTTTAATAATCTTATACTGGCAATAATGGTCAATACTGATGCAAAACAGCTCCGTCAAGGTTATGTGAGTACCCAGCAACAAAGACTCTAAAGCTGTTATGCTAAATATAGCTCATTTATCTTTCAGATTTCTATCGCTATAGTGCGTCAATTCGATATTGGCAACATTTATGGAAAATTTCTGATCATGTTTGAAACACCAGTTTATTTTGAGCCTTACCAGAAGGCCTACAGATATTTGACCAACAGCAATGTTATAAACTTCCCAATGTCAGATTATATAGTCCACGGCTTGACCAGAACAAAATCCCCAGCATATTTGAATCACACACAACCACCAAAAGTCTACGAGAGCCAAAAGTTTATAAACAAGCTGCGCAAAATGCCGCTCAATCTATCACAACACGATGCGTTTCAACGCGCTTTGAATACGAATTTCAATTTAATCCAAGGACCACCCGGTACGGGTAAAACTCATATGTGTTTGCAGCTTATAAAAACCATCTTGGAGCATGCTAAATTCTGTGCGCCCATTGTTGTGGTTACATACACAAACGATACATTGGATAAGTTCTTGATGAAGCTTAGCTCGTTTACCAGCAGTATTGTTCGCTTTGGTAGTCAATCTCGTTTGCCGGAAATCGCAAAATTTAATTATCGAGCGGATACTAACACGCACATGATCAATCCGAGGCTTAAGCGTCTGTACTGGATGGTAAATCTGGAGATCAAAGAGCATTTCCAGCGCTTACAGACATTGTATTCTGACTTTAATGATACCGATAAGGCTTATTCGGATATATTGGCCACGCAGCGCTTGATCTGGAATGCACAAGAGAAGCTCGAATGTATACGAATGATTTTCCAGCATTATTTGATAATTAAAAAGAATGTTCTGGCTATGACAACAACATGTGCTGCGCGCATGAATTTTGTTTTTAGATTTTTGAAAACACGCATCGGTAAGCATAAAATGAATAATTCGTATGATGAACAAGAGTAGATATTTCTGCTCCATTTCAGTTATATTCGAGGAAGCTGCAGAGATTCTAGAGGCTCACATATTGCCATGTCTAACACCTTACACGGAGCAAGTGATTATGATTGGTGATCATATGCAACTGAAGCCATATATAAGCTATATAAGGGGTCTGAAGTCTTCGACTCAATCGCATTCCTTATTTGAGCGTTTGATAAGGTCAAATTTCCAAGTGAACGTCTTGAATATTCAATACCGTATGCGCAATACATTTGCCGAATTGCTCTGTCCTGTTATATATGAAAAGCTTATTAGTCATGATTCCGTTTATAATTTTCCCTCTGTACGCAATATGGGGTTGAATTTATATTTTCTGCAGCATCAAGAACCTGAGACACATATACTTGATGGTTTTTTATACAATGAATATGAGACAAAAAAAGTAGCTGAGATTGTGCATCACTTGGTCGAGGTGAGCGGCTACAGACATAAGGATGTGGTCGTGCTTTCACCATACACTCTGCAGGTCGAATCAATTAAAAAAAAAGTAAGCCAACCTATGTGTATATCGGGAAGATATTGTAAAAATTCGTGTCTTTTCAGTTATCAAAGAAACCAAATTTAAAAGAAGTGTTCGTTACGACAGTGGATAGTTTCCAGGGGCTGGAGGCAGATATAATTGTCCTCTCGTTGGTACGCAGCAATACTAATGCAAATATAGGTTTCCTGAATGAACAGAATCGTATTTGCGTTGCCATGTCCCGTGCGCGCTTTGGCTTGTATATAATTGGAAATATGAACATCTTGGCTCAGAAGTCAACTACATGGCGCGATATACATATTAAGTTAAAGTTGCAAAATGCAATTGGTGGAGATTTCCCATATAAAAATATTAAGTGAAAGTGCTATTTTTACAACTCCTACATTATACTAATGTAAATCGACATTTATTAAATTTTTATAAATATGTTTTCGTTACTAACAAAATTGCGCTGCAATGTAATTACCTGTAATTGAAATATGTATGTGTAGAGCTGATTTAGTCATTTAACACACAAATCATACTCATAATCTACAGTAGTTAATCTATTATTAATAAACCTTATATGAAATATAGTCTTCGCTTTAAAGAGAAATTACGTATTGCCACTGACCAGTGAACCTGTCTAGTCTATGTGCTCTCTGGTTAGTGGCTGACGCATTTGCGATGACAATGTCAGTATTGTCATCGGTATGAACTCTGGTCACACTCAATTTGTAAACATTTCGCAATATTTGTAGCGGCTTTTAGTGAAATGCGTATTAAAATACAAAAATTACGCGGTTATTGAGCTTAGCTTACATTCATTTCTAAGTTATCTCAATATAATGTAAGTTTAAATAAGATATCGGGAAATATGTTACAAATGGCTCTAAATAGGCAAAAAACAACGAAGTAATCAAAAATTCCCGCGCAAATTGTTTTCCTGCCGCCTATAAGCAAACGTATGTAAGCTCGAACAGATTCATGTAAATCTCTTATATTCATCTGTAGACAAACCAAAGATGCGTCGTAGTAGAACTCGGAATAAAAATCTGTCCACAGAATCAGACAGTGACAGTTCAATCTCGCCTCCAAAGAAAAAGAAATCAAAACGGAGCTCAGGAACAAATGAAGGCGATGGAATGCTGGTGGAGGCATCTACATCTCGTGCGGTTCGCAAGCGAACAACTAATGCAAATTCTTCCTGCGAAGAGCCGTCTGTAAGTCCATATATCATATTCAGATAAAACTAGTATTCATTATGTTTCTTTATAGTACGGACTAGCACCTCCAAATGCTTTTGCAAGTTGTGGAAAAATTATTTCTATACGCCTCAAAAATTTTATGTGTCATTCCCATTTGTACATCGAGTTTGGACCAAATATTAATTTTCTTGTTGGCAGCAATGGCAGTGGCAAAAGTGCAGTAATCGCAGCTCTTGCCCTGGGGCTGGCCGGCAGTGCGCGTAACACGAGTCGCGCCAGCAGCATACAGAGTACGTTTAGCTCAATGGGAAACACATTTTTGCAACAGATCACGGCAACAATTACATTCACGCACTAAAGCACTCTCAACTTAGGCACTTTTGATAAACTAGAAAACTATTTTGTTTCAGAGCTAATCAAAAACGGAGAGACAAATGCATCCATTGAGCTGACCCTATCCAATGTTGGTCATCGACCATTTAAACCCGACATTTATGGTCCACATATCACGGTCGTGCGACAAATTCGTCAATCATCTTCGACGTATGAGATAAAAGATTCTCATCACAGAACGGTATCCAGGAAACTAGATGAAATACGACGGATGATCCTTTATTTCGGCATAAGTGTTGAGAATCCAATATTTGTTCTCAATCAGGAAGCATCACGTGAATTTCTTAAAGAGTAAGTTTATAACTAATAATTTTTCTAATAATTTCATAAAATATATGAAAATCCACAACAGTCTTGAACCCGCATCAAACTACAAATTGTTCATGAAGGCAACGCAGCTGGATTTATGCGCGAACAGCTTAACTCAATGTCACGAACGTCGCGAGCATATAAATTATGATGTACAGCTGCTTAAAATGGTAAATTATTAGTTAATGCGAGTAAAGACTTTATAATATAATTTGTATATTATATTATTAAGAAACTGCAAAAATTGAAGAGTCTGTGCCATGAAGAAGAAGAAAAGTTGGCAATAATTAAAAATGAAGAGGCACTTAAGGTATGAGAACAATATTTATTTTTGTGCAATATGTTACATTTGCTTTTCCCCTCTATGTAGATTAAACTGAAAGAGGCTACAACAATGCTTGCTTGGGTAAAAGTATCTCATATCCAGGATGATCTTACTAAAATCGAGCAAACTCTTAAAATAATTGAAAAAAAGAATGCGGATCTGTCCCAAAAAACCACCCAGAAAACCAGCACTCAAGAGAGCATCGCTCACGCTCTTCAGTAAGTATAGAAGTTCTCTTAAGTGAATATATCTATAATATTTTATAATTAGAGAACTTGAACAAACCAAGCAGCGGATTATGGAAAAATATCAGGCGCAGGAAAATGCGCTCAGAGCTGCTAAACGAATTGCTCAAGATTGTCTTCTCAAAGCTAGTTCTTTTAAAGCAAGCATTAAGAATGTAGAGAAGCGTTTGAGGGAGGAGCAGACAAACTTTGAGGGCTGTCAAAAGCATATGAATAACTACCACGCAGACTATTCAGAAGTTAAAAGGCTTCGAGAAGAAAATGCTGCCACGCTAGCGACTCTAAAAGAGAAAGTGGCGCAGAGGAATGAACTAATTGCTAGACTCAGGGATGAACAAAGCGAACTCAGAAATCGATTAACAGCAGCAAGAGAGAACTTGGAGTCTACAAAGAACGAAATTACCAAACTGCATAAAATGGAGCGTACGTATTATAGCCTGAAGTAAAGCAAGACCTTACATTATTTGTAATATAATGGGTGTCAATTTTAGAAAGCCTGCAGTGGGAAATGGAGTCCCTATTACGGAACAAATCCAATAAAATGTCAGTTTATGGCGAACACGCAATGGAAGTGGCCAATGCGCTGCGTGCTCAATACAGCGGCAGCAACGCAAGCCAAATGCCGCGTGGACCTATTGGCATGTACATAACTGTACCTAATCCAAAGTATAGAGATCTAATTGAGAATCAATTATCCCATTGCCTGCGGTCGTACATAGTTAGCTCAGACAAGGATAGAATGTCGCTTAGAGCTTTGTTACAAAAATCGTATGCAGGTGGTAATATACCCACCATTGTTACCAGTCCGTTTACAAACCGGGTCTACAATGTCTCCAAGTACAAAGTGCAATGTAGATCTTCAAATACGACTGTGCTGATGGATGAGATTAGGTAAGTCCTATTTTGCGATTTGTAGCTCAAAATTTGCAATTATACCTTCCTGTTTTCTTTCTTATTAGATGTGAGGATCCTGTCGTAATGAACTATCTTATTGATACATTGCGCATTGAGACGGTGTTGCTTACTGACTCTAAAGAGACAGCCGAGTCGCTGACATCGACTGTGGAAAACGTGCCACCTAATTTGACTCGAATATTAGTTCCAAGCCTGGGCCTGGAATATTGTCCATCACCCAATTATGCCATGTACTCCATTCAAATATCACCTGCGAGATTCATTCAGGTGAATGTCGATGATCGCATTCGGCAACTGAAGACTGAGCAAAATAGTCTGCAGGAGCGTGTTGCGAATTTACAGCCCCATTATGCTAAGGCCAAGTTAAAGTTGGAAACTGACACACGGGAGATAAGCGCGAAAAGTGATATGATTAAGGCACATCACACTGAGAATACAACAGCGATGAAACAAATTATGGATATTGAGAACTTTGAGTATCGGGAATTCCCTGCATTTGACGTTCTAGTAAGTTGGTACGAAATCGACTTTAATTGAAATCGACTATATTATTTCTTTCAATCCATTTAGGAAACTCATTTAACGACAAGCCGTGAGAAGATAGAAAAATTAAAGGAGGAGCGTAATATATTGGAAAATCAACTTCAGGAAATAGCCGAGCGAAATGATCAAGCTAACGAAGAAACTAAAAAAGAACAAGGCATTCTCGACAGTCTCAATAAAAAAATTTCCGAAATTGATGCGAAATCTCAGGAATTGCAATCAAGGGCTAGAGACTTGGATCGACATTTTGAGGAAAACCAGCGACGGCTGAAACAAACTGACGAGTTACTTAAAACAACGAAAAAGGATAAAAAAGATAAGGAAGCCGAACTAGAAGCAGCTCGCCAGGAGGCGCAGAAAGTCGGTGAATTTATTGAAACAAATAAATCGGAAGAAAACATTCGTGATCAAATTAGCCGTTATAAAGCGAAGATAAAACATTTCGAATCAATGAAACTGAATAGTGAAGAAGTGGAACAAAAGCTATCCAAATTGCGCGATCTTCTAAAAACAGAATCTGATATTCTGAACAATATTTTATGTGTCGTAGAGAAATTGCGCATTGAATATCATTCTCGGGCCCAGCGATTTCAGCGTTCACGTCATCATTTCTTTACTATGGTAGAGTTTCACTTTAAGCAAGCACTAATCTGTCGCCAATTTGAAGGCTATCTGGAACCCAATCATAAAGATAAGACGCTGAAGATCAGTGTTTATCCACCCAGCGGTAATAAGACTTCAAATATGAGAAGCTTATCCGGTGGCGAAAGGTCCTTCACCACGGTATCTTTACTGAAAGGTCTTTGGAGTACTTCATCTCATCCATTTTATTTCCTCGACGAATACGATGTTTTTACTGTAAGCATCAAACTTTTATTGATCAATTGATTATATAATATACATTTTTTGTATATTTACAGGATGAAGTGAATAGAACTTTTATAACTAAATTACTTATTCAAGAGGGAATAGACTTCCCCAATAGACAGTATTGTTTCTTAACTCCACAAGATACAAAAGTCGATGCGAACCACCTTATAACAGTACACAAGTAAGTCTATTTTGAGCTTTCATATACATATTTAACTAATTATTGCTCCAATATAATGTCTGTTTATTTTAGATTGGAAAGACCTGATCGGTAATCTAGAGCTTATCTTTTCTCAAATATTGGTTGCTGGACGACTGCTTTTATAAATAGACGAAAAATCTTTATCAGATGTTATTTATTAGTTTCGTGGTATTTAAGTTGATATTATTAATAAAAAAAATGTAAAGTTCTTTAAAATTTTTTTGAACATATATTAGATATTTAAAGAATATCGGTGTGGCAACTCTAAGTAGGCTGGCGTGGCAACGCGCATCTCACGTTCAAGCTGCATGACATAAATTAAACGATACCGCTTCTATTATTGGTTTTATGATAAACTAAAGATTATTCAATATATTAGTAGTTAAATTTTTAATTTTGTTGTATATGTTATTTCTTCCAATTTAGATAAGTTTAAAAATTTATATATTGGTAAGTAGCCTCATGCCAATCAGTTGACATGTGGCCATCATACTGGCTGAGTGTTGCCAGACTATTCTAACTAAATAACCTAAAAACAACACCGAACACAAACGGCATCCCGGATATTTTTATTATTTACTTCTTGTTTATACATATTTATAAATAATAACAATGAGCCGAAACTATAAAGAAGATCAGATCAATGAAGTTGAGGCACTCGATTCCATATATTGCGGCGAAATGGAAGGTAACTCGAATTGTGTTTTAAAAAAATAAGTGGTATGATCGTCAACTTCCTTTTGCAGTGCTACAAACAGAGCCTTTTCACAAATTTCAAATTCCTATCGCCACGGAGGAGTACAATGCCGATGCAGCGGAAGACAGTGAAAAGGGCTTAGCTTGTAAACTTGTGTTTACATACACAGCATTATATCCAGATGAAGCGCCACTGGTGGAAATTGAGGAAGCTGAAAATTTTGAAGAGAATTTCGAAGTAAAACTGCTGGAACATTTGCGGAAGACCATCGAGGAAAATATTGGCATGGAGATGATATTTTCGTTAGTCAGTAGTGCACAGGAGTGGTTGAATGTACAGTGGGACGAGCACAAGAAGAATCAGGAGGACGAACGAGCGCGCAAGGTCCAAGAAGTCGAAGAAGCGGAAAGAAAGAAATTTGAGGGCACACGAGTGACTGTTGAGACATTTATGAAATGGAAATTAGAATTTGAGGAGAGTACAGGAATTGCTGCCAAGCGAGAGAAGAACAATGATAGCAAGAAATTGACAGGACGAGAGCTATTTATGTGCGATAACACATTGAACGACTCTGACATCAAATTCTTGTTGGAGGCCGGTGAAAGTCTCGAGAATGTTAAGATCGATGAAACCTTGTTCCAAGATATTGGCGAACTGGATTTAGATGATGACGACGATGAGGATTGGGTACCCGGGGCTGACGACGATGATGATTAAGCCACTCTGCGATATTAAAAGAAAAGTCACATAAGGCATACTTGTGTATTGTAAACAAAACAGCTTAACTCTCAATGATGGCTCTATTTAGTTACTACAAATAAAATGCTAGTGTGTTATCAATCCAATGCATTGGGATTTTCCAAACTCATTTCGGACAATTTAAGTCCGTACTTTTGAACAGATTGAATGTCATCCAAGTCGAAGAACTCTTCATCACTGTCAACTGCTTTTCGGTTGCTCTGATCCGTGTCCTTCTTTACTGCAGGAAGCACTTCACGGGGAAAATTAAGTTTTGGCCATGACCCTGGTTCCAGCTTCGGCAATGTAATCTCAACCTTAGTACCCAACATTTGTGCGGAAGCCTTTTGTACATTGACAATCTGACAAAATAAGTGTACTCAATAAGATGCATTTTTCATGACCTATTTAAAACATTGCATTCTTACACCGCGCAGCTCCAGGTCCAAGTCAAACTTAGCATTTTCTTGCTCTGGGAAGACGAGCATAACATGCAAGCGAATAGGGTTGACTTCAACAATACTTTCCGCATAATGATATTTTTTGGCATAGACAGCGACAACAACATTTGTAGCTGTCTGATGCCAATCATATCGGCATTGAATAACCTTTTTGTCGTCATCCTGCAAAACATTAAGAGATTAGGCGAAAGTTCCAGAATCCTGATTTAAAATAACTTACATCCTTAACAAATTTATGTTGGCCGTAAACACAGCCTTTTTGTGCCATGAACTGAGCAAAATCTGATGTACGTTTCTGACAGCATGACCAAAACTTCATGCCCTCATGGAAAATGGGAACACCAGGATGGTAAGTGCACTCGCCAAAGTCGCTGCTGGTGCTCGTATAGGAGTAAGTGCAGCCATTGTTTTTGCAGCTTGTTCCCACAGCAATGGTTCTAAAAATATATCATATACATATAAACCCAGTGCAATAGAAAAAAAATCTTAGCTACCCGTCGCTTTCTGTCGCTGCAACTGGCGCAGCAACACCGCTGACTTTTAATTTATCAATGGCGTCCTTCAATGCTGGAGCCACAGTTGGGTTAAGTACAGTAAAAGGCGTATCGATCGGTGGTCTGGGTAATGCTTCCTTAATGGGTGCACGTACTTCAACTTCCACAGTCTTCTCCTCATCTTTGTTATCCTTGGCAGGTTTTTCTGGTTCGGGCGGCTTAATGTTTGAATGCTTGCCCAATGTGCAGCCCTTGATATTCAGAAATTCTGTGAAATCTACCGACTTTTTATTGCAGCATGACCATCCTTTGTAGGCATCATGAAAAAATGGAGCACCTGGATGATGCCGGCACGATTCTGTGAAAAAAGGGTTGGCAGTATTATTTTTATTTATATTGAGCTTTACATACCATCAGAATTGGTGGCTGGATCGTATTGTTGTCCACAACCTCTGTTATAGCATTGTTCCATATTTATTTTTATTATTTTATATCTATTTTTGGTAGTTCTGGTCTAGAATCTTCGCAAATGAGAAGAGATGTGGCGGCAGGTCGATAGACACCCTTTAAAGCTGCCAACTTGGTTGAAGTGCAACCAACATTCACCATTCAATGTGTTGAAAAACGTGAGCATATCAATGAAACGGTTTTTCGACATTTTGTCTTGTCGTTTTCTTTTTTTCTTTATTAATTCAATTAGAACAAACAAACCGGTATTAGGAAGTCGCACAATATGAATGTATAGAAAGGCAAATAGTAATAAGAAAACAATTAACACAATTAGACAATGCAAATTATGTTAATTATATATCAAATTGGCGGGTTCATTTCGAAAGGGTCTTTAAACTTGTTAGTAGTGTACTGTTGAAACCGGAATTAAATACAAATCAATTAATGCAAATGTACCGAAGGTCAGTTCGGTTTTTCTTTTTTGTCGACGTGATTAATGTACAGGATTTGCTAGACGAAACACTCAAGAAGGTGTGTGCTGACAAATTGTGAGTCACGTAGCGCAGCTAATTAAAAACAGGAATGGTAACAAATTCAAACAACACTGCAGTCGTTGTTTGCTCGAAGGCTCAAACTTTTTTCCAAACAATATTTTTTATTTTTTATTGTTCTGGTGCCATTCATATGTATATTCATATGCACATACAGATACATTTATATGCAGCTCTTAGATACGTGGGACACGCTTATAGTTTCATTTATTGCCTAAGGCGACAGCACATAAATATTGCTTGCAGTCAGCAAATTGTCATTTCATTGAAAATTCTTGTGGTCAACAAGGTTATCAACGCTGCGATGACTGTCAATTGGCAGTGCTCGATTGCGATTGGCCTTTGCAGTTCTGGCCGCACTCAATACAAATTATGACAGCCCGGGCGCCCGCCGCGTCCTGTGGCTCGTCTGCACTCACACTTTGAACATTCCAGTTTCGGGCAGTGAATCATGCAGCCGTCACCATTAATGATATCTTTTTGGGATACTGATGTTGTTGTTGTTTTGCATTGTTACTCAATCGCTAGAGAATTGTAGACTTTTTTTTTTCATATTTCATCGCTGCTCTGCAACTTCTGACAACTGCGGCATACACTCAGACATTTGCAAATAAATAAAGAAATACAAAAATTGGGGGCTTTATTTTTGCTGTTGTTGGAAATGTGCCCCAGTGTCAATGGAAATTAACACCGCAGGCACCGGCTTGGCCTATTCTAGGCGTCTACGTAATTTAACATACAATAGCAAGCGCCAACTGCAGCAGCAGCACCAGCAACAGCCACAGCAACGGCGTTGCTGGCAACGGCAACAATATAATGGCAGCATGCAATGGTCTACGGCGGCATGAAATGCTGTTGTAAAATGCAAAGGCAAAGGCAAACGCAAAGGCAAACGCTTGCACAGATTTCTTGCAATCAAACAGTAACAAGCGAATAAACATTCCATTCCATGCCAGATGACGATGACGCGTACTCAGTTCACACTTTAATGGCGGCTACTGCTACGATTTGGGCTACTGTTTGCGTGGGCGTTGCCGATCGATAAGCATCGCTTGGGCCTGCATCTCTGGTTGATGTATATGAATGTGTGATATAACATGAACGAACTTATGCAACAAGTCAACAATAACAAATATTACAGCAGTGATAACAAATGTTGATTTGTTCGCTTAACGCTTGCTCGCTCTCAAGTTCGTTTCCTGAGTCTTTCGTTTTGTGCATGCATTAACAACTGCAAGGCAGCCAAAAAAAAAAAAACTTAAAAACAAGATATATTGCTGCACACTTGACTGCACGACCACACGACGCACAAAAGTTAAACACAAATTGCATATTTTACACATTTATTTACAACATCGTTAGATATTTGCCTAGGTGCCTCATTAACTGACTACTTACACATGACTCGACTCCCAACTCTCTCTCTCTCTCTTTCTCTGTTCCTCTCCATGTCTTTCGACTGTTGGGCTGGCATCCCCATTGCCTTAGATGTATGTGTACCGCGTATTGTATGGACTGGTATAATAGTTGAATGTGGCATACGATGTGTCGGGCGTCTGAAATGTGGTGCTGAAATATGTTGGATCCACGCCGCCAGCTGCCGCTGCAACTGCTGCCACTGCTGCGAATTGGACAGTAAAGAGGGGCACAAGAGGAAAAAAAAAGAAAACAAAAGAAAAACAAAAAAAACAAAACAAAGAGTCTTTGTCAATTGATTTGGCGGCCATTCGGATTTTGGCATTACTACAAATATAATTACAAATAATAATATTTATTGTTAGGCTTGGGCGTGTGCACTTGAGATTAGTAGGTGATACTTTGCTGCCAACTCGTAACGAAATTCCAACTGTGGGCGTCGGCAACTGACAAAACACGCTGAAGGTTAGGCGCTTCGTCAATCATGTCGTCAAGTGTTATTGGGCAAGTGTCCAGCTGCAATTATCATTGTGGCTGTTATTGTTGTTGTTGCTCTTGCCTCTGGGGCGTTGGCTTCACTTTTTAGAATGCCCCGTTTAATGATTGGTAACATTAGCCGACCGTCGTTAGCTGTCCGTATACATATTTTATGGTGGGTGGCTGTCAATTGGCGGCTGCAACAACAGCAGCAACAACAACAACAGCAATAAAAGCAACTCTGGTGCAGCATTTGCGTCATTGTTGCCACAGCCACAAGCTGCCTAGCCCCAGGCAGTCCTCATCCAGGAAGCATATGCTGCGTAACTATTTTATTTTGTTTTTGCATTTTGCTCAGAGAACTTTTAGGCTTGCAAAATTAATTACACAATGGCCATTTGGCTGGCTGGCTGTCTGGCTGGCTGACTGTCTGGCTGGCTGGCCAATCGATATCGGTCATTTGGCTACCAGTTGGGCCAATCGTGCATAAATTGTCAAATTGTAAAAATTATCTCAACTTAGTGTCGTTCGTTTGTTCGTTTATTCGTTTGTTCACTCCGTTCATTGTGAAATGTGTTTCCATTGCATTTGTGTACTAAGTAAGTCCAAGTCCTCTGGCTGCTCGATTGCCTGCCTGAGCTTGGCTTGGCCTACTGGCGCACTAAGGCTAGGCTATAGCAAAAAAGTTGCTCCATTTCGTTTTTCTTTGCATTTCTTGGCTCTCAAACGAAAAACCAAACGGCAAAAAGCTATAAAATAAATGCAGCTGCACAAAAGTCGACTTAAAGATACTCTCAACTGAAGACTTAAATAGTTTCCCGAATATGGTATATATAAAGTCTAACTTTAAGAGCAGCTTGTTTTTCATTGTTGTTCATTTCTCAATGCCTGCAGGGTATTAAAAAAAAGGTAAAAAATGCAAGCAACTAACAAATTTTTTGCACAGCATTAGGCGCGCATATCATTGAGTGTTTCTCTGTTTCTGTTGCACCTCCTTTCTCTCTTTCTCTCTCTCTCTCTCTCTCTCTCTCTCTTTGTATATCTCTCTGTCTCATATGCAAATATCAGTGCATACGCTCATTGACTTTATAGACAGGCCAGACACATAGCCTTTTGCGGCTTAAGTCTTGATTGCTATAGCAGCACCTGTTGCTGTTGCTGCTGCTGCTGTTGGTTTTGTTGTTGTTATTGGCTTTAGAGCTTGGGGCTTAACATATTTGCTTGTCGTTAAAATTGTTCATATTTCTTTGCCACTGTGGGGTACTTAAGGCATCACAGGCTGCCTGCCAAGGGGATAATAGCATTGGCATGTGGAGAGCTATATAGGCAATCAGGCTTGCCTCAGCCATAGGCTGCATATATTTGAGCACATTTTTCACACATTTAAAAATGTACATTATTAATAGTAAGGTAAAGGCGGAACTAAAGAACCATATGAAAAACTCCATATGATAAAGTGCAGATATAAATGAATGAAATTTCAAAATATGATTCAAAGCAAGATTTTGATCATATATATCTATGTATATCTAAAGTAGTTTTGAGTTGCCAGACAGAAAAAAATGATACATATGTAATTCAAATATAAAACTGTATAATGAACAGGAGTAAATCCAAATATCGAGATTATTTCTATATTGATAAAAATATAAAGGATTATAATATTTCGCTCGACTTTTCCGTCTTAAGCTTAGCTTTAGTTGGCTTGCGACTTTAAGCTGCTGGACTACTTTATAAGTAGGATTGAGCTGATGGTGAATATATTACACATTGAAATGGAAAATTTAATTATGCTATGCTTAATCATCAGCTATGCCTTCATGCTCAATTTCGATTGAGTCAAGTGAGTCCTCCAACAAGTGCTCGTTCAGTGTCACAATATTTCGTCAGCCCCAAACAGCTTGAGCAGTTGAAAGCATGTCAATATTTTGAGCCCACTCTAATGTAAAGCTATTGATAGAGATGCAAAGACATGGAGAGAATACGAGATAGAGAGAGTGAGAGAGAGAGAGAGAGGGAGAGGGAGTGTGTATGTGAAGGTAGTCTACGTCGCGTCGTTACAGTTGTTGGATTCAGCATCGGATTGGCCGTGGCACAGGCCGTCGCTGTTCGATTGTTGTCGCTGCACTTCAAAGGTGTCTTTTGTTAATTAGACGCTTGTTTTGGTGTGCACTTACAATAATTGCTACAAGAAATCATAAGCATGTACGATAATATCAAAAAGCCAAAGTGCTGCATTTGTGAATGTGAAACTCAAAACACTACATAATAATTATCGAGAGAAACGAAAAACAAAAAAACACACACACAAAAAATAAGATAACATAAAAGTAATAAAAATAAAATACCATGTTGCATTTTTGCTGAAATTTGTTTTCTTGTCTGGCCGAAATGAGTCAAAATTATTCAAATATAAACATAAAATCATTAAACAATATATTTGTTTTGTTTATTTATAATTTAGTTGTTTATTTTTTGCCTAAAAAATAATAATTTTTAAGTTACAAATTAAACAAAATAAAAATTCGTAATATGCAAAAGAAAACATAAATACATATATTAAGAGAGCTGGCCAAATAAAATTAAAAAACATAAGAAGCAAAACGAAAAATAAAATTATTGTGTTCGCAACTAAATAACAATAATTAAACTAAATAATTGCAAATAAGCAACTATTACTTTAACATATTTTAGTTGTTATTATTATGTTAGCAAGTGCGGCATATGTGGGTGGGTGTGCGTGTGGGTGTGGGATGGGTTAGGGCTCTTGTTGTGTTTTGTGGCCGACTGTGGGGCTTAGCTTGAAGTTGATTAAGTGCTGCGAACGCTCAAATTGCGATTAACTGTGACGCGCATTTCCGTTTCCGCTGTTTGGCATTGTCTGTGCTGTAACTGAGTGTGAGCTTGTGTGCGTGTGTGTGCTTATGGCTATGTGCGTGAGTGTGTGTGTGCGTGTGTGTGCAGTTAACCAAAGATTGTGCCTGTGAATTGGACGTGGGTTGGAGGACAATTATTTAACAATAAAAAAAAACAATATTTAAACACTACTTCAATTGCACTAATAAAGCTTTAAGTGTGTGTGTGTGTGAGTGTGTGTGAGTGAGAGTGAGTGTCTGTGAGTGACAATGGCCTAGGCTATGCTATTGTTCAGACCGTACGTCTGAGTGAATTACTTTGCTGTGGCGGCACAAAACCAAAACCAGAGGCGCCAACAACAACACCGCTCGACTCCTCAATCGCATCTGGGGGCGAGGGTGGGAACACAACGGGTCCTGAAAAATATAACAAAAAATAATGTATAGAAGAAAACGAAGTCATATACATCAATATACATATACATCATTATACATCATACACAATGTATCTAGCTTACCTCGATTCTGGCGGGGATCGCGCACCTGCGCAGCAGACGGCTGTGCCAGGGAGAGTGTATCGAAGGCGAAGCGGGATCGGGTGGGAAATTGTCCTAGAAAGTATTGCTGGCCGGCAGCAAAGGCCAGGCACAGGCACAGAGCAGCAATGGTGACTAACTGCAAGCGGAATGGAAATACAGATATCGTTACGTGTTGGTAATACAGTTGGTAATACGGTCGGTAAGTACGGCCAAAGCGATTAAACCATTGCAATCTGTGTCAATGCCAGCGTAGCTAAGCATATGGAAAACAATTAAGCCTCTGGCTTGTACCACAGTAGAATGCCATTCAGGTGTACTTGAGTCGAGCACGAGCCAAGTGCCAATACCCTGTATTCAGTTCTTAGCGCTGTTTACCTCGCCTCTCTCACTCTCTCGCTCTCTCTTTGTCCATCTCTTTCTCACTATTGGGCAATTTTTCATATGCAGAGCATTTGAACGCGTAATTAGCGGCAATTGCATAAAACAATATTTACGACAATTGCTGCAAGATCGGCTTGAAATGCCAGCCAAATATTTTCAAACTCTCTCACAGCGGATCTCGAAAGCTGACCCAATTCGGAGGCAGACAACAGTGCGGCAGACAAGAGCGCCAAATGCATCGAATCTAATGTTGTGATAAGCATGCAGCTTTAGCTCGTTAAGGAGCCAAGAGCTGCGCTTGTGGTCAAGCTTTGTGGAAGCTGTGGCGGCATGCATCAATGGCCCAACTGCAGCATGCTGTGCAAATTGGCTTTGTGGTTATAAATATATACACATATGTACATATGTATATGCATATATGTATGTATCTATATATATAAATAAAGTGCTGGCTGTCGGCTAGGCGCTTGAATTTATTGATTTCCCATTGAATGCTCGACAGACTGGCGCTGCTCGATTGGCAGCTGCAATTGGCAACTGGGCCGCAAGTGTTGCGGGTGTTGTTGCTGCATCCAATGTCTTATTTAAGACCGTCACGCAATTGCAACAGACGCCACTGGACGGACACTAATCATAGGGCTGCAAAGACTTAATAGATCGCATTCAGAAAGCCAAACTGCCCCATATGAAAGACTTCCAGCTGAATATGGATTCATATTGTGCTGTTTTATGGCCAATAATCACACCTCAGCCCACATTCAGTCATTCGTATTGCCATGTAATTCTGGCTTTTCATTTTCTTGTTGTGGCTTTGAAAGGTTTTTGCTTCATTAATTGCCTAATGGGCCGCGCCTGCAATCTGCATTGCACTGCAGGGCGTATGCGCAATATTTGGTCGAACGCTCGCAGCTCATGTTAATTTTACAGGCATTTTGTTGATTTTGCGCTGCTACTGCAATTGATTTAATATGCAGCAAGTGTTTACGAGCACCCTACAAATTTATATAAAATTAAAAAAAAAAGCTAAAAAAAAAGACAACAAAATAAAATATACGCAAGTAGCTGTAACAAGAACAGCAACAACAACGCTAATTGCTATAAGCCAAAAACATGCATATATGTATATACATATATAAGAACAACAATAACAAGAGCACAAATTGTCTTGAGACTAAATAATCAAAAAAATATGCAAACAAGGCGAACAGTTGCCAACAAGCAACGGTGACTCTTGTCTAGACTTTAGAGTATCGCAAACTTGTGAAAATGCTTTTAATTAATTCATGTCTGTTGAGGTTGTTGTTGCTGCTGCTGCTGGAGTTGTGCTCTGTTGTTGTCCTCAGCTCAGACAGAACGTCTGTTGCCACACTAGAGCACAAGCTATTGGCTCTACTGGGCACATCAAAGTGAAACAGTTCTCCAGAGCAGATGAAACACATTTGATAAAGCTGGTCAAATCTCATATGAGAAATAAATCCGAAAGTGATTCAGCTCTGACTTGACAGTGGGCGGTTCTAGCAAATGCCAATCAGCTGTACATGTTGCCGGCCAGAAGCCAGGTAAATGGTTGCCATGGGAAGCCGGCAAAAACTTTTTTGATCCATCATAAACACAATCTAATCGGACTCTAAAATCCAAAAAAGGAAACAACAATTTAAAGCAATTTGAGCCCAACTAACAGCTGTTATTGCACTGAGCCAAATAATTGACAATTTGCTGAATTGGTTTGCATATTGCAAGCAAATTATGTGAGATCTAGATCGTTAAGGTTCAATTACAATTACGTACAGTTATCAAGGTGGCCAATCGATTCAACAGTTTACAGAAGAGAGAACTGAGGGATATTTGTATATTAAGTTTGAGTCTAGTTGTATCTGAAGAATTTTCAATTTCTTTATTCTGCACAAAAATTAGACTATATTATTTTTAATATATAGTAGGGTTTAAATTATTTATACTTTTTCAGTTCAATTTAGTTCTATTTAAGATTTGCTTAAATTACTTATGCCTGAAATCTTGACATCTACTGCATCACATATCAGTTACATACAAAAATAGATCATAATTTTGCTCAGTGTATGGTGCCTATATATATTTGGTGCCCACTGTGGCATGCAACACATGTAAACCGTCAAAATGTCGTCAGCTGTGGCCTGAGGCAGGCTCTTTGAGTGTTTTTCTGCTGGCTTCCACAGATTTGCATTTCGGCATTCTACGCATAGCTGTGAACAGCGAGCTGTAACCGCAGACAGCAGCCATTTACCGTTGTCGTTTAGGCTAATTAAAATAAATTAAGCGCAGCTCCAGTTTAATAATTTTCTGTGTTGCTGCTCAGCTCTGCGGCTAGCCGCAAGGAATCCACATAAGAATTCACCTGGGTAGCCGTGAAGCCGTGCAGCGCACGCTAATGTTAGCTAATTTGTTTGACTCTGGGACATGAGAACAAAACAGTTTGTATTGAAATCGCAATCATTCCTCATTGTAGCTCGCCCCCCGCGCCCCGCTTTTATCGAGAGTGCCTCAAATTAGTTGAACAAATGACCTTAGATATGATTTCGTAATTGGGCGGCGCTAGCAGGCCGACATGGCAACAAACGGCAGCAGTCGAGACTGTTGGCCAACGGCGGCTCATGCGAAAACCCACCCACCCACAACAATGATTAAGTGCAACAACATGTGAGCGTGCCAGTGCCAGCGCATAAAACCTAAATAAAAAGCACAGCAACAACAACAACAACAACCCAATACTGGACTACTGCGAAGGCAACAACAACACAAACGCAAAAACATTGGCTCGTTAGCAACAAGTCAGCATACCCTGTAGAAACTTATTAAAGGGCATGCAGAAGCTCCAAAGCTAAAGTGAAGTTCAAAATTCAAAATTCAGTGGCAAATTTAGGAAAAAAATGATTCTTAAAACATTTTTTTGAAAATTAATTTTTTTTTTTTTTTTTTGCAGGGTATCTCAGCTATTTGTGTTACTGACTTTGCACCAATTTTACTTATTTTTCAATCAGATTTTTCATTTTTTCGCTGGCATTTATTGGCGTTTAGATTTTGATTGGCTCAAATGTGCAGTAAAAATAAATTATTTTTGTTTATTACTCTACAAAGACTTGGACAAATCCATTCGAACAGGTAACCAGAGTGTTTTGCCTTTTTTGTTTTATGTTTTTATTTTGTCTATTTATTTTTGTGCTGCACAAAATAAACTGAGAATTAACTTTCAATTAGCTGTTCCCGCAGGTTTCAAGTCAATTTGCATGGGCATGGAGTGAGTCACGTGGCAGGAAAACGGGGAAAAATGAGGCCTGCTGGCTACAGCTGGAGCATTAATTAATCTTATTTAAATGGTTTGTCATTTAGCTAGCGAGCATAACGAATTTTGATGTGAGCATTGCAAAAGTGAATGTTGAACAATTGAAGTTGTGCTCAAGTTTACGCGGCCATAAAAAGAAAATGAAAAAAAAAAAAAAAAAAACAAATGAAGGAAAACAAAAAATTGATATTGTTATCGGTTGTTAATGATTGTAACGCCTACAGCAGCAGCAGCAGCAGCAGCAGCAGCGGCGGCAGCAGCGGCAGGCCGGCAACAACTCTCTCAGATGCTAAAACTGTCCAGGTTAACGCTCGATTGGGCAACTGTTCATTGACTTTCAACACGGAAGCATGCTGCTAAATCCAAGCTCTCACCACTCGCCGCTCGCTGCTCGAATCTCGGCTTTAGACTTTTGGCTCCCGTCTGGATGCATTTGCGTTAGCTAGAGCCTAAAGTCCAAAATGGAGCGCGACTGTCGGCTGTGTTTAGTAGGCGCAACAAGATCAACAACTGCTACGGCACGGTCGCTGCTTTAAATTACTTTGAATTGTGTTTAATAGCTGGAAATGATGCCAGGCCAGGCCAGACCAGGCCAGGCCAGTTGGAGAGCACTGTTGATTGCTTTAGCCATTACTTGTTGCCCAAGCGATTATTAGGCATCAATTTGGCACAGATCATTGGCTAGGAAGTGCCAATTGCCGCTTGGCAGCGTGAGAATTGAAACAGTTTTCCTTTTCCTGCTGATGCGGCCCCCAAATGAAATACAGCAACAAACAGGCGGCGGCAAGCAAATTGGTTCAAGTTCATGTGGCAACTGCAAAAATTTGTAGCATTTAAGGCATGACAAAATGCCAAACACAACGCACACATGTCGACTGCCTGGCTGTTTACCTGCCCGCCTACCTGCCTGCCCGTAGCTTATAAATATGGTAATGGCCTGGCCCCGGTCCCGTGTCCATTTCGACGATAAATCTAACATAACTATTTTGCAAGCCAAAAACGCGCTCGCGCTCGCACCACTCGCACCACTCGCAACGTTCGCATGTGGGCAGCACCACACGCTCTCCGAGCTTCAAGCTAATGTCCGACTGTAGCTGGACATGTGGAACATGTGTATGCCAGGCACTTGCCATGCGCATTGACTGGCTGTCCGACTGACTGACTGACTAACTCGCCGACCAAGACATGGCTCCAGCTCTGATTGCGACAGCTGCGCTTTTGCTGCAAACGCTAATCGTGTCGCACTAAGCGAATTGTAATAATAAAATGGCCAAAACAAAACCAAAAAAAAACTGAAAACAACGACTGATGCGATGAACGATATCAAATGACATCGCACAGCGCATAATGCCAAAGACACTGAGCATTAGTTTCATTGCTCCGAACTGAGAGGAGCGCCCGAACTGGCCAAAAGGATTCATGTGCATGTTGTGAGAAACGGTTTAATAATTAAAAAGTACTTTGAATTCAGTTATTGGAGTCTACGAATTTTATATGCCAACAAACTGCTCTAAAAGTGTCTCACAGTGCGTAAGGCTTCAAAATGAACTTGATCAAGTCTTAGCCTAGTTTCGAATCTGATCAGCTTAAGCTGAAACTCTATAGCCATATACTCCTTCTCAGTACTTTGACTTGGCCTAGACAAGCTACAATTATGCACGACAATTACACACGTGTGTGTGTGTGTGTGTGTGTTTCGCAAAGTGTATGTTAGTCTACGCTGCGGCATCTTCATTAGCTGAGACCATAGCGACATGGCCTGGTCTGGCCAGGCCAATGCAAAGCAAGCCAAGCGCAACACAAGGCAATTTTATATTTATAGCAATTAATTTGAATTTCTACACGCAAAGCGTGTAAAATGCAACAACATGTCGACGAGGACAAGTTGTAGCTGGCGATGGCAGCGATTAACCAATGAATTAAAGCGATTGTCGAGCAATTAATAAATCTTTTTTTTTTTCGTTCAGACTCTGTGTGTGTGTGTGTGTGTGTGTGTGTGTGTGTGTGTGTGTGTGTGTGTGTGTGTAGAGCATGGCACGCATGACCCAATCCTAATCGAGAGCGATTTGCCAGACGTTGATTGCGGTTCCCAGGGTGCCCAAATGCCTGCCTGCTGAGTGCTTGGGATGAAACGGCAACTGCCGATTGCCGACTACAGTCAGCTGGATTGCAGTTGCAGTTGTAGTTGCAGTTGCAGTTGCAATTGTTGTTGTTGTTGCCATTGCATAACTTAGAGACTCTAATGAATTGAATGCGGGCTTTTCATAGTTGTTTAATTTATGGCCGTCGCACACACGCACATGCGCACGTTCACGACACTGCGCATTGGAGTTGAATGCTGGCGAGACGCCGCGACGTGGACACGCAATGGCCAAGATGTTGGTCAGCGTCAGCGTTAGAGGCAACGCCAGTTTGGTCACTTGACTGTGACTCTGGCTTCAGCTTTGGCTTTGGCTTTGGGGATATATTGGCGCGTGTGTATCGCACTTTTCAATTAACTTACAAAACGCATGCCCAGGCACGTTTTGCCGTTTTGCCATTGCTTGTTGATGTTGTTGTTGTAGCTGCTGTTGTTTTTGTTGCCAATTGGCTTGATCTGTAAACAAGTGTCTGCTGCTTGTCTGGTTCGGCAACGGCCTTCACCATGAACTTGAACTTCTCTCTTTACCCCAGATTGCTTTGGATTTTTATCATCAAATTGCAGCCCGTTCTGCACAATGAGCGCACGCATGCGTACTCGTATTCGTTTGTGTGTGTGAGTGTGGAATTGGCTAGGCGGAAACATTGAATATGCGTGTTTGGCCACATAATTATAGTTCATATGCTATGCAAATCGTATACAATTTATGGCTTCGATGCTGTTGACCGAGTCCATTGTCTGCGACATAACAGCTTAATAGCCAGCTACATTTATGCTTCTCTGTGAGTGTGAGTGTGTGTTTGTTTATATAAATACGATTACGATAGATATGTTCATTTATATACATATGCCTGCGGCGGGCTTTGTCAAGTCGTTAATGCCGACAAAATGCTTGCCGCTAAAAAGTGACACACGACAACGGGCAACAGTCCACTGGCGGCTGGCCATAAATTCAACTGCCCAATAAAAATTCTGAATACTACAATAGCCTCAGAGTTTGGTCTGGCATGGGTCAATTTGTGGTGAATGGCTCACGGCTCTTGCATATTCGCATTGGCGTGCGCGAGCATCAAATAAAAATGCTGTGAAAATTGTCGCTTGGCATTGGGTAGTGCGAATATAAAAGACTTAGGCAACGAACTTGCACAAAATTGCGTATACGCAAAATTAAATGTAACTTCAGTTTTTTTTTCTTTGTTTCTTCTCGCTTTGATTTCATTTCAATTGATATACTTACGAATTTCATGTTGATTTAGTTGAAGTGTTTTATTGCAGGCGGTAATTGAGCTGAGTTGCGCTGCAATTAGTTAACAAATATTTTCAAATTAATTTTGTGATTTATTAGGCACTACACTTTTCTTTAGAGCACGAATCACCAGCTTGTTTATTAAATGATTTTGTGGGTATTTCTAACCATGAATTTGCAATTTCTTTTGTTTTAATTTTCCGATTATTTTAGTATTTTATTTTTAAATTGCATTAATATTATTATTTGTATTATTTTTGTAAACGTTCGCACGTGAGTCAAGTGAAACAAAAAGCCGAATTCGAATGCGTTCGGTGGCTCTAACAATGAGCTGGGAACTGTTAGCTGGATGCTGTTTGGCTGTCAACTGGGTATTGGCTTACACGAATCTGCGCTGCGCTGTATTTAAAAATTGTGTGTACTGCCTTTGTTGCTCGGCTTTGGCTTTGGCTTTGACTCAGACTCGGACTCGGACTCGGACTCGGGGATTCGGAATCGGAATCGGACTCGGGCTCGGCGGATCGTAAGTTAAGTGTACGTCGAGCTGTGCGGTAAAACGTTTAATGAATTCCAACAGAAATGCTCAGTTGATTTTATATAAAGCATGGCAAGCGTGCGCCGTTGTCGACGTCGACGTGGCCGTTGTTGCTTTGTTAGCTGCGTTTTGAGTGAGTTTTTTCATTCATTACTTTTGTTGTTGTTGTTTTCATTTCTCACTCGAGCATTGAGTGTGCGAGCCTTTAAGCAAGTTGTTGTTGCTGGCCTACGTGCGACACGTGATGGTCGTTGTTCTTGGGCGGATAGTGGCAAATAAAAGCAACTTTCTAGCGTTTGGCTTGCGCGGGTCTCTGCTGCTTTTGATGATGTTGCTTTCCGGTAACCAGTTTCAGTTCCAGCTTGAGTTGCACTTCATTCGGGTCAATCAGCCTCGGTAGGCGCTTATGCAAATCTAATGCAAATGTGATAGGAAAGCTGGCAAACACCTTGACTTGATTGCAGGTGAAAACAGCGAAAAAAATTGCATCAACGACTACAACAACATGAACGATAGCAACAATAATGCTGCTGTGTTGTCAGCAACTATAGCTTTGGCAATTTCTTCCGCCTCTGTCGTGTTGACCGTGAAAATTTCGTGTGATTGTTGGTCTTTTTTTATTGATTGCTGTAGTTGTTGTTGCTGCTGCAGGTGCTGCTCAGCTTTCAGGCCATTTTTGAGGAACGTCGGCGACTTGATTTAAATGACAATTTACGTGATATTTGTATGATTGTCTGATTTAAGATCGCCATATGCATAATCATCATAATCATAACGCACGAGTTGCTTGCCGGAAGCAGTAAACAGAAGGCTTAAGCCACAAGCCAGCCGCCGAGTTATTTCTGTATGTATATTGTGAATTACGATCTTTTGTTACAATTGATATTGCTTTAAAGTGTGCAACATAATATGCTTGACATTTACGACCCTTAAACTGGAAAGCAATTAACAGCATACGAGGGTAGTTCTTAAGTTGTTGCTGATATTTCAGTAGATTCGCGCTTCTATCTAGCTTCAAATTTAAACTTAATCAATTGGCATCCTTCAGATGCTGTCAGATCTTTTAAAGAAATAACCAAGTATTAATAACTTTAAAAGGTTTGTCTGCCTGAAAGTCTTCGCGATAAAGATTTCGTGAACTGAATAGAGTAAACACAGATATAAATCATTTTATGACTCAATTAACGACCCTCGCCATTAATGCGACCAATTAAATACAAATTGCACACTTGTCGCAGCAATGCAAGCAATGCGTTAGATTTAGTTTTTTTCCGCCAGTCAACGCACTTAATAGAGGGGAGAAGATAGGGGAGGTTATATTTGCTAGTCGATAATATTATCGATAGTAAAACCAAGTTCAAGTTCAGCTGTCAGGTGCTTGAGAGTGGCAGCCGCAAAAACCGTATCTTTTTGTTGATGCCACAAGTCGCAGAAAACCACAGTAATTGAATTGTATAATCATATTTTGTATTGTCTTCAATTGGCGTTGGGGTCAAGTTCAGTTGGCCAATTGGATAGCGCAATTGTTGTAAGCTGTGCAACAATTAGCGCGCTTAATTGTCGATTGCCATTGATTTATTACTGATCGACTAAACAATTAACAGATTGCCTTGTGCGTACTTTGCCTTTTGCCTTTGCCTTCTTTCGCTTTCTTTTTGTTGCTTTTGCCTTTGCTATTGCCATTTGCTTTGCTTTTGTTGTGTTTTGTTTTGTTAATTGAAATAGTTAAACGTCTGACAGTGGTTATCAATCATTGGGGCAAATTTTTGGCCTCAGTATGGCTTGGGTCGGCCTGAGGTTAATGCCACTTTTAGGAATTGAAAACTATGTTGGGCTCAAACTTGTCTGCACATGAGCGACCGACTCAAATTAATGGATTTTTAAATGCGCTAAAAATAGTAGCTGATACGATAGTCCGAGTATTTGAATGCTAATCTGTTATCTCATCCTGTTGTCGGCAACTGCGCTGAAATCAATGAGAATTACAAGTCCATTAATCACCGATGGCTCCGCACATATCTAATTATAGAGTCCAAGCAATCAAGTCAGCTCATACGCATTTCATTCAAAAGTATTTAACAACAACAAATTACATTACAAATAAAATACATTTTATATTAATATGAATCTCGCCAATATACTCGCCTTTGAGGAAGTCAACTGCAAGTGAGTTTAAGAGGAGCAATAACTTGCCCAAAATCTTATTATGGAACAGGATTAATATGATTTCAACCTGAGCGACGACTTACGTACACTCTCAGATCCGCGTTAAGAGACGAGCCAACGATAACACCTGAAAGAATCAATCTCAAATCGTCCTTAATATATATATTTATATTCCAACAAATGTCTATCTTCTTTGATAGAAGTCATCATGATTTATAATGACTGATTATCGATTTCGTAAGCGCGAGCAGATTTGAATTCTTAAATTATTTATATTTGGTATTAAAAATTTGGATTGCACAACTTTTTTTTGTCATTCACTTAACTCCCAAAGTTGTCGATGTGATTCATTGACCTTCCAGAGTTAATAATTAAGTGTATGACGATGTCGCACTTAGTTTCTGATATAATTAGATACGTTATATTCCAATTAGCAACGTGTCGAGGAAGCGTCGCTAAGGCTGATGCTGCATTAGACGCTTAACGATTTATATATTACAGTTATTGCAACTGCAATCGCCAATTAGCTAATTGTGCCCAAATATGCAGAGAGAATTATGAAAAGCGAGCGCAAGTTCACATGTTTAGCATTCCAAATTTCCGGTCCAATTCGATTTGCATCATATATGCACACACACACACATAAGCAAATGCATGTGTGTAAAACGTTTAGCGTTTATTCTCACGACATCGACCTTGGCAATGCTCAACGCAACGGACCGCAGTTCTGTGTGAGCGTAACGCACGCTCCAGTAGATTGCAAGGAAGAAAACTCTTGTTACTGGAACTGGTTTTTAGTTTTTCACTTGGAGCCAATTGAAGGCGTGAATATGCGTACGCAATAAGCCGTTGCAATAACAACAACTACAACAGCCACGCATAACATAATTTGGACAAACTGACAGCATGTCGGTGTTATAGTCAAAAAATATAATTGAAACGGGTTGTCACGAGGTTGCAGATGTCAGGCAAAGTATGTTTCCGTTTAACCACTTTCGATAGGGAAGTTTATAATTTATTTACTTGTCAACACAAGCAATTTGCATGTTCATTATTCACTTGCCGTTCGACCATTATTGCCACACAAATTTTGGCGGTTATTATTTAAATTTTACGTTACGTTGGCAGCGCCACAATTAACAGCTACAACTCTCAGTGCTGCAAAACGTAACGATTATATCGGCTGCAATATATCGAACATGTATTTAGTGTTTTTCGAGTATTTTATTAGTATTTATAGAGACCTATCGATGTTTCTAGTAATTATAGTCTGATTATAGGACAGCTGTGATTATCGATAGTGCGAGCAGCTAGCTAACAAAAACCAACCACTCATCAACCCGGCATCAAAACCGAAAAAGCGAGAAAGATTCGCCTATCCTTCAGCCAAATTTTTGTAGAGTAGACGCCAACGTATGCTAAAATGACACAGATAAACACCAATTGGATCTTGGCATTTTTCGGCGCTCTTGTGGCCTTGGAATTAGTAAAAAGCTCTGAAAACAATGAGTACATGAAGCGAGAACACAGCCTAGTGCGTCCATTTCAAGGTAAGATAAGCTTCAGTGATGCATATATCTAATATGGGAATTGTATTAACATTGCTTGTTTCGTTATCAACCTCAGGCGTTGGCGTTATACTACCACACTGGGATTTTTTGGGAAACACAATGGTTACCAGTAACTATATAAGACTGACGCCGGATTTGCAATCAAAAAGCGGTGCGCTATGGAACTACTCGGTATGCGGGCGTGTTATTTAGTATTTTAAATAATTATTGATAATATTGTTGCCGTCACAGCCCGTTATGGGACGCAATTGGGAAGTTCACGTTGGGTTCAAAGTACACGGCAAGGGCAATGAGCTCTTCGGCGATGGATTTGCCATTTGGTATACAAAAGATCGCATGCAAACAGGTCCTGTATTTGGAAGCAAAGATTATTTCTCTGGACTGGCAATTATTCTGGATACATACAGCAATCATAATGGGCCACATAATGTAAGTGCCTTGTTCATTTACATTTGCAGATTTGCAGTAACTGTTTTGTTAAATTTAGCATCAGCATCCCTATTTGAGTGCGATGGTTAATAACGGCACCTGGAGCTACGATCATGACAGAGATGGTACACACACACAGCTGGCTGGCTGTGAAGTGCGATTCCGTAATGTGGATTATGAAACGTTTATTAGCATACGATATGAGAACGACGTGTTGTCCGTTTCGACGGATCTCGAGAATCGAAACGAATGGAAAAACTGTTTTGTAGTTAACAATGTGGAGCTTCCCACTGGCTACTACTTTGGCTTGTCGGCAACAACGGGCGATTTGTCCGACAACCATGACATTCATAGCTTCAAGTTCTTCGATATAGACACAACTATCACTGTAAGTTTAATATATATAGATAGCTTATATTACAGTCAGTGTAGCAATGCTGATTACTTTTTTTTTTAATGCAGCACGAGGAGATCATGCGCCGTAGCAACATTATTCCAAATGCTAAAACATTTGAACCGCCGCGGGAACATAAAGATGATCCGAAGCCGGGAATGTCAAATGCTAAAATATTTTTCATACTCCTCTTCGTAGTCCTAGTGACGGCAGGTGTGGCAATATTTGCCATATCGTATTTCAAGGATCGCAATGCGCGAAAACGATTTTACTAAAATCGACAGCTTCAACTGCGACATCATACAACCAAACTTAGGCATAGTTGACCAAAACATCATGTTACAAGCAGCAGCTGACAAGTTTCAAGTCCTTTTAAAGTTAATTTATATTGAATGTACCCATTACGATATTTATTCATAAGTTATCTAGATGACCCGGGTCTTGTTAGATGTTCGTTTTGACATTGTGGAATAGGTAATACAAACAACGACGTAACGGGAAACACAAATGGGCAATTGTTAAATTTAAGTGCAAATTTTTAATCAGAACTCTAGAAGAATTGAGAACGTATGAATATTATTGCAGTGTGTATATTACATTAGAAAATATTTAAAAACAAACGACCAACCAACTGCAAACTAAAAACTACAAATTCTTAATTAGTTATACCCAGTGATGTTGTTGGCGCTGTCGGCAACTGGATGCTGAGCGCGGAGGCGTAGCTCTAACAGTCGTGGCCAACATAGACTCGATCTGACGCACCTGATTGCTAACGAAGCGCTCGTTGGAGGGCTCGTTGCGATCACTTTCCAAATTATCATTCGATTTATGCATGCCACTCAATATACACTGCTCAAACAATGAGGTGGATTGGCCATCGTCCAGCGACTCATCGGAGCTGTAGTCAGTCTTGGCAGTAGCAATTGTCTGTCGTCTGTGGTTGTTACTTGGCTTGGGCAGCGTGGTTGTGTGACTCGAGCTGGTGCTAGCGCCGCTTGGTGGAGGTCTGCAGCTACCAGCGGCAATGGCCTGAAAAGTAAGAACAAGGATTAAACGGCACAGATGAGATTGGTATTCAGCAATACATACTTGGCTTAGCAGATTCGAGTCGTCGTCAGAATCCATTGACAGTGAACTGAGCGAATCGCTTCGTTTCGGCAGCTGACGCGGCTCAGCTTCTACTAGTACAGCACTTCTTCGTGGTGGCAGCTTTGGAGCAGATTCTGCATTCCTAGGCAGAAGTGGCGGTTTTAGTGCACGGGTTGGTCCCACCTGCGCAGAACCGACAGTTAGGCTGGAGAGCCCAGAGATGACGGAGAAATTACAGGGGCTGTCTTCTACGTAGTACTTATTCATCTCATCCGTTACTGGCAAATAACTGGGAAGAGCGCTCCCACCGCAGCGCATCTTGGAAATTGCATCCTCGGGAATGTTCATTGCCATATTTTGGACTTGCGGCATAGGACGTGTCACTTGTCCATTGCCATTGTGCTCATTGGCAGTGGAGGCTATTGAAAGCACTGACAGATTGCTATTGCTGCCCGCTTTGGACAGCAGAGCTGGAGTATCCTCTGTGCAGTAGCTACGCGGCGCATCGTTGCCATTGAGGTCGTGCCCGTTGGTTGTGCAGTTATTGCTTGAAGGCGGAAGAGATGGCTTGACTTTGCGATCGCGTTGAGGCGACTGAGGCATGCTCTGCGTGGGTGAGTCTGGCAGCTCTGAGGGAGAGATCACGCCGCTTTGCATACGACTGTATTCACTAATTACAGAACCATTGTCGTCACATCCAATTGTCTCGTCATTCACCAACGAATCCATGGAACTACGTCTAGAAAACATTAGCGGCGTCTCCAGGGCGGAATCAATAGCCTGGCAAACTGCACTATTATTATTGTTGTTGTTATTAACAATGCCTTGTTCTGGCGCCTCGACAACTGATTGTTGGCTGTTTGTTGCCTTGGGAACAACTGGCTGCTTCTCGTGCTTTACATGCACGTCCGTTAGGCTGGTGAGTGAATCGAAGCGACTGAAGCAGCCGGGTGTTCCCTCTTCACAATAGTTTATCGGCCGCTCGCCGGGCTCCGGTTCGGGCGTGTGCAAACAGCCGTCGGATTTATCGACTGCTAGATTCTCTAAAGCATTACTGCGAAGGTTGAGTGTCTTCGGGCGTTCCACTTGATCGCTGCTCAAATCACAAGCCGAAGCGGATTTAGCCAGAGTCGGAGGAGCGGGGCTCGCACTGTCATCCAATATGAGCAATATTTCACTACTCTCTTGCTGTCGTTCCTCACATGTTACTGGCTGAGGATTCGTGACTTGGGCAGATCGTCTTTCCTTATAGCGCGCACTGAAATCAGTGAGCTGATCTAAGTCGATGGTATTGTCAAAACTGGTCTTAGCCGGCTTGTGCTCGTTGTAGCTGTACTTCATCGAATAATCAATGGGTTGCTCCTCCGTGGGTGCCCTATAATGGCCCAGCGCAGTACTTGTACTGAGCTTTCGTTGTTCAAAAGCGCTGTCCGACTTAGTTGAGAATTTTGTTGAGTCGGAATCAGATTTACCGGAATAGATTGACTCTCTGCTCTCGCATTTGCGTGGTAATGTGCTACTGCCATTGCTACTATTGCTTGCTGTCCCGTTGCGCACCTTCTTAAGTGAGCCTGTGGGATTACTACTTAGTCGCATTGAGCTGTAACGTCGTGGCAATGTGTCTGCATGTCCGTTGGGTAGCTCTTTTGTAGGTAACTCGTTATTGGTTGAGAGCTCAAGAGCGTTGCGATAATTTACCAAGTTCTTCAGAGCTGAGGCGCTGCCCTCAGCTATCATGGAGTTTTTGGAGCTTGTTAGCGAACGTAGCAGCGGAATGGCATTGTGATCGATAAGAAACTGTTGATCCTGAGGACAACGTGCAGACAAGTTCCAGAGCGTACCACAGGAGTTGCTAACAACCGTCTGGTTATCCATCTTAAGTTGCTGCAGCAGAATCGCCAAGCAGTTGTGCTCCCTTAAGATCTGTCGATATGATTCACAAACAGCTATATGGCTGGATACATTCCGCAAGATACCGCCGGCGTTCTCGACTATCTTAAGCGTCTTGCTTGGACCTTCGTAACTGAGCATTTGTACCAGAAATGCCAATGCGCCATCGACAGCACAAAACTCCGCCTTGTTGGTGCTGCAGTGTGCCGACAAATTCCACAGGGCTGACAGGATAGCCTTCAAAGTGTTCTCACTTTTGTTGTGCATAGCGGCCATTGCAAGAGCTGTCACTGTGCCAAGCTCGTTAAATATGGTCTTCAGGTGTTTGTCCGCACGCCAAGAGAGATTGCGCAAAACGCTAGCAGTGGCTTGCAGTAAATCATCGACATCTGGGGTGTTTGAATCCAGCTGAGCAACCAACGCCTCCATGAATTGCTTCTGTCCACAGAGCAGTGACTTGTTGTTCTCTTCACCGCAAGTGAGATTGGTCAGCGTCATAAGAGCATAGCGTCTAAGCAAATTGCATTGCTCACGACCTGCTGCCGGTCCATGAACGGCATGGTCTAGATGAACCAGATTTGGTATTGCTTTTAGGGCACCCAACTCGCACATGGTCTGGCGATGTTCCTCATCAAAGCTAGCCTTCATCAGCAGCTTCATCGCTGCCAATGGATGACGTTCTTCATCATCGGCAATTGATTCACCACCACTTTGCAACTGAGTTCGTAAGAAATTGCAACTATAGTCATGTATTTGATCTAGAAGCCGCAGAACCTTCATTTCCCGTTGATTTCCTTGAACAATATTATGTAGGGCTTGGCTGGCGTTTCTTCGTGCTGCTCCGCCCGCGCCGGCACCGTCATCATTGTCGTGCAGGATTTTTACCAACAGTTGGATGCAGTCCGAGCTGCGCAATGCTGAACAGGTGTCCGTATTTCTAGAAAGCTCCAAGAAGTTGCGCGTCAGCTCCAGTTGCTTGTGAGCGTCACTCTCGTTCAGCGTCATGTTTACAAATGGTTTCCGCTTTATTGATTTTGCCGGGCTTAAATTTAACACTCTATTCTACGCGTTGTACCTAAGTATATTCCAGGAACTATAATTTACCTGCCTCTTTATGAAGCAGTAATAGCTAGCAGGTAGGCGATCCGCGCTGAGATGCTTAGTATATCATTGTGGCATCAGAAAACCAACCTACAGCGCAGAAGCAACTGCCTTTGTTTGGATGATGCTGTTATGAATTATCGATTTTTAAAAGCAACAAGTAATCGATAGCCATACAAGCATGTTGAAGGATATTGGCTTTTATTATGATTATATTTTTCTGTTGTTGTATGTATGTTGGTTTCCAATTTATTTAATTTTGATGTTGTTTTATAATAAGCAAGTGAGAACAGAATATCAAGAAGAGAGATATTCGTAAAATATTGTTTACCGCTTTGCGATACATTTTAGTATTTTGCTTAGGTTCCATCACTAGTTAGCTTCTATTACGTCACGCATAACAGCTGAGTCTGCTCAGCTGGTACTGACTGTTCGAGCTTGCGGTAAAAAGTTATGAATTTTATTAAAAAGGTAAATAAAACTATTAGTAATAAAATGTATTATTCATTTGATTAATTTTCGTAGGTAACAACACGGGTGCTGCCAATGGCTGAATCCCACCTCAGTCTTGGCAATAATTCAGCTCTGCACACTAGCGCGGTTTGCTGTCGCGTGCAGTCTGGACGTTACCGCATAACCGTGAAACGGGACAGGCCGCTCACCTACGAAATGGCCAATCCGCCGCATTTTATTGGACACCGCAAGTCATGGAATTCATGGAACACATGTAAGTTAATGTATTTACGTTTATTAAGTTGTATAAAATGTCAAAAATAATTTTGTTTAGCTACGTTGAAGGATGCCTTGCGGCCATCACAAACAGCCATTGAGGATGTGTTCATTCGCAAATTTATAACTGGAACATGGCATGCCCTTGTATGCTCCGAAATTATTATTAAGCGACAACACAATATGATACGCATTGCTGCCATAATACGACAGGCTATCCACCCACGCAAAATGTACTTCCTCATTGGTTATACGGAGGAGCTTCTGTCTTATTGGATGCAATGCCCTGTCACGCTCGAGCTTCAGACGGTGGCCGATAAGAAAGACGTGGTCTTCAAATACATTTAGTTCATATACCTTTTTACTTGTTGCGCCAATACATTAATACTAATAGAACATACATTTTGCAGTCTTACTCAATGAACGTACTCAACTTCACTGTTATTACTATGCCAAGATTTAATGGCCTTGTTTACAATGACGCCATCCTGATCTTTTATCTAAAATATAAAAAAAGGTCATAAACAAATAAATGATGAGAGGTCGGCAGCGTACCATTTCGACCAACACTTTTAGTTCCTCTTGAGATCGCAGATCACATATAAAAGATCTTATGTCTTTCATTAGCTCAATAAAAAGGAATACGACTATCTTCTTGGCGCCTCCACACACCTTATCCCATATTTTGACTAAGACAGTTTCACATATTACGCCGGCAAAGCAAGTTGTGTACCAATCGTCTAACAGCTTTGAATTGACGTCAAAGAGTTCCAGCTTTTCCAAACCACTGTAATCAAAATGAAGTAATTAATATAAATAGAAATTTTTTCTTACAGAGAACATACTAAAATAATGCAATGTCTTCGCGTTTAAGTAGCACTTGTGTTAGTTCTTTAAGTTTGCCGCATTCCTTTTTGAGTTCACGTGTGTACTGGTAAAACCCCTTGGCAATCCAGTATGTTTCCATTTCATTGTCGAATATTTCAAGTAGGGTGCGTACAATTTCAATAAAATGATTGTCATCTGGCTGACTCCCAACTCGCACATTGCTGTGCAGCAGGCGATTGTTCTCCAGTAGCCACATTTTGTATAGAACCAAATGTCTGGATTTATCCACATCTACGAAACGCATTACATTCACGGCGCGTAGTAGATCTTCATACACTTGGCGGCGTTGCTCCCGAACATATTCGGTGTTGCTTTTATGAAGTGGCATTATCCCCATTATCAGACTCCATAGCAGACTCCGCTGCTGTGCTGGAACCGTAAAAGTATATACAAAGTGCTTTAGCTTTGCGGGATTGCGAATATCATCCTGTAGCAATTTATTAAGTGACTTTTTCTCTTCGACACTAAAACAGCCCACTTTCTCATAATAACTAGACCTAAAATTGCGCTCATCTGTAGTCATCTTTAGATATATATTACTTGGAATGGGACAACAAAGGCAGCAACAATTACGTCCTAAATTGCTCTCAATAATATCGAAATAGAGTACAAATAATCGTAATATTTTACATAGCATTCTCTGGTCCCACTTTATTAACAGCTCCGAAAGGCGCCAAAACTAATGAACAGCACAGTCGAGATGTTTCACTTAATTTAATTTACAAAATATATCATTATTTTGCATTTGAAATTTAATTTATTTTGATTTTTTAATTTAATAGTATATTTGTCGCTCACAATTGTTGCAAGCTAATTGTGACTGCAACTGTAACTTTCGGTGCCAATGTTAAGCGTGTATCATATGTTATGTTAACTCTAATTGCGTTCACAGTTCTCACATTTCTTTACCGTTACGTGGTGTTTTGCATTACGTGTCTGATTTTGCCATTACGTAGGTACGTAAGTACCGTTGTGCATTGCATTTCGCTACAAAATGCCCAAATATTGTGTGAAAAGGTAAACAAAGTTAATGAAGTGATTAAGTATTCGATATAAAAGCATATCAATGTGGTGAAATTAGGCCGTTCAACATATGAAATACTTACATTGATTACGACAGAAGACATTCAATTCAAAAAGCCTATGTGAATGTATTACACACTGTTGCTGCCTTTGCTGAGGCTGAAAATTAAAATCAATAATTCAATCAGAAAATCAAAACACGAATTTGACCAAGTGCACACACAGCGCTTATGATAATTTATGTAAATATGCCACATTTGTAATGTTTCTCTCTTGTCTTTGCCTTTGCAGTTGCAGTTGATAAATTCAAATGTTTTGTTTTGCATTTGTTGTTGTTGCCGTTGTTGTTGTTACTGCCGTACACGTTGTCAGGGCTTGGACAGGGCAAAATGGAACAGGAGATTGGTACCTGGGACTCAGTTCTGCTAGAAAACCTGTCCGAGGACAGCTTCATAAGCAACATACATCAGCGTTACAAGCGCGATCATATATATGTAAGTAATCCAATCGATTTCGAGGGGCTAAATAATGGTATATTGCTGATTGCTTTTCAGACCTACATTGGAACTTCTGTTGTGGCTTTAAATCCATATCATCACATATCTGAGCATTCTTTGGAAAATATTCGCAACTATGGCAATAAAGGCATTTTTCAGTTGCCACCACACATGTGAGTGCTTCTGGGGCTTATTCTGTTCTCTTTTATAATAAAGATACCATTTGACAGATATGGGCTCACCAATTTGGCTTATCAGTCCCTTAAGGATCAGAGCGAAGACCAGTGCGTGTTGCTTACTGGTGAAGGAGGCGCTGGCAAAACAGAGACTTTTAAAATGATTGTCAATTTTCTAACACACATACAGGACCGGGGGGTGTGCTCTGGAACTCCTAATGCACTTCGTAAACAGTCCTCGACTAGCTCAACGAGCGGCATGGTTATGCATGCTCACCGGCGTGCCTCCAGCAGTTGCTCTGGTACCGCCAATTTTATCATTTGTAAAAATAGTACAGCTTCAGCTCCAAGTCAGGGCAGCGCGTGCAACTCCCGACGCCAGTCACCTTCACCGGGACCAGGTCCGTCACAGCGCTCACGTACGCGTGCGGAGAGTATCGAACGTCAAGCCAGACGTAATATGCGTGAAAAAATCGTTGATTTTGATTTTTCGCATCACAAGAGCTCCGAAAATATAAGCACGCTGCTGGAATCAGTCGCTGCACATGCCCATTTGCATCCAACGAAATCATGCTTTAAGCACCAACAAACTCAAGTAAGCACCTGCACTGCCACTTATGGGCCCACGGCCACAACGCCCTCGAAAACGGGCTCATCCAGCACATCACCTAAGTATTTGCATGGCGGCTGTCTTCAATGTGGCCACAGCAAATGCACCCGCGCTCAGAGCTTGGAGAAAGATGAACGCGAAGCCGCTCTTATATTGCTGCGGGGCAGCAATAATCGTCTTTCCACCGCCCACCAACTGCAGCAACCACAGCGCGGTAGCTGCTCGAATCTAGTACGACAACATTCAACCGAAAGCCAATCGGAGCGACAGATGTCCGTGGGCTCCACGCAACGTATATCACTGTACGATGCCCACAAGCTAAGTAAAGTTCACGGGAGTAACACTGTCTCGCCCACGCCCTCTGCTAGCTCCTCGCTGCATCGACGCCACAAGTCACCTAACCAGCGGCTGCGTGAGTGCGTCACCTGCGCGGATGTCTTTCTTGAGGCCATGGGCAATGCCTGCACACTAAAGAATAACAATTCAAGTAGATATGTGAGTTGCGGATATTCAATTTAATGTTGATGTTTGTTCTGATATATAGTAATTTCATGCTCTTAGGGTAAACTGTTTGATATTGAAATCGACTTCAAGGGTGACCCCATGGGCGTTCACATAACTCACTGTAAGTAATATTAGTTTGACTTGTTGCTTTAACTATATTATGTATATATTTATTATTTAATTGATTCTATGTCTAACTCAAAAAAGATATGCTGGAAAAGGTTTGAATTACTTGATATTTCAAAAACTAATTATTCGATAGACTTTATGAATATTTAATTTACTTTCTTTACACAGACACGCATCACGGATACTTTAGTTGGCGAGCGCAATTTTCACATTTTCTATCAATTGCTATTAGGTGCTGATCTTCAACTGTTAAGTATGTTTATCTCTGTGGAAACGCCTTGATTTGTGATGTTATTAACAACTATTTATCCTTAAGAATCTCTAAAGCTTTTTCGTAATGTGGAGAAATATGAGTTGCTCAGAAACACGAGCGCCATGGAAGAGGATCGTGCCAATTTTCATTACACTAAGGTCAGTCAAAAGTCAAATATTTATGGGAGAATGCTAATAACAACCGACTTGTCTCTTATAGCGCTCTCTGGATGTTCTCGGCCTGAGCTGTGATGAGATTAACTCAATTTTTCGAGTTATTGCGGTTGTCTTAAAGTTGGGCAATTTTATTTTTGTGCCAGTGACCAATATTGATGGCACCGAAGGCTGTCAGGTTTCAAATGTCTACGGTACGTTTCATCATCTCGATGATGTTAACAAATATCTGATGTTATATAATATTGTTGGGATTTGCAGAGGTTCAAGAGACGGCGCAGCTGCTCAATTTGGAAGCTCAAATATTAATTAATTGCCTGACGAGAGCGAACAGCACGAGCAGTACACAGGAGGATGTGGGTTGTGAAATGGACGCCAGACAGGCAGCCAGCAATCGCAATACACTTTGTCGTACGCTTTACAGTCGTCTATTTACTTGGCTGGTGAATAAGATCAATGAAACGTTGAAGTCTACGCAGCGAGAAAAGAATCTCGCTTTGTTAGATTTTTATGGCTTTGAAGTTTTGGATCATAACTCTTTTGAGCAATTTGCTATTAACTACAGTGCCGAGAAAATACATCAGGTAAGATATATAGTCACAAAAATGAGATAATCCGTATAACTTATTTTATTCTATTTTTGTATAGAACTTTGTTTTTAATGTGCTGCGCTTCGAACAGGAACTGTATATACGTGAGGGTTTGGAATGGTCACGCATCGATTATTTTGACAACGAGTCCATATGTGAGCTAATTGATAAGCCCAGCTATGGCATCCTTAGTTTAATCAACGAATCACATCTAAATAACAACGAGGCGCTGCTGCTCCGTATACAGCAATGTTGCGCAGGGCATCCCAATTTTATGACGAGTGGCAGCAATTCCATGTGCTTTCAGTGAGTCTGTTTATGAAATAATAGAGCCTAATTAAATATATATATTTATCTGGTTTATTTACAGAATTCGCCACTTTGCTAACGTTGTTAACTATTCCATTCATCGTTTTTTGGAGAAGAACTCAGATATGCTGCCAAAGTATATAAGCGCTGGCTTTTACCAGAGCCAACTACCGCTAGTGCAAAGTCTATTCCCGGAGGGCAATCCCCGTCGGCAGACTAGCAAAAAGCCAACCACGCTTAGCACCAATATACGCACGCAGCTCCAAACGCTGTTAGCCATTGTGAAGCATCGTCGTGCTCATTATGTGTTCTGCATCAAGCCCAACGAGTGCAAGCAGTCCCATCACTTTGACTTGGCCTTAGTGCAGCATCAAGTGCGCTACATGTCGCTTATGCCGCTCGTCCATTTGTGCCGCACTGGACACTGCTACCATTTGCCGCATGTCAAGTTTTTTCAACGATATAAGCTGCTCAATAGCTTAACTTGGCCACACTATCACGGTGGTAGCCAAGTAGAGGGTATTGCACTGATCATAAGAAATTTGCCGTTGCCCTCGGCCGAGTTTACGCTCGGCACCAAAAATGTGTTCGTGCGCAGTCCGCGCACTGTCTACGAGCTGGAACAGTTTCGTCGACTCCGAATCTCCGAGCTGGCCGTGCTCATACAGAAGATGTTTCGTATGTATCATGCCAGAAAGAACTATAGGCGCATGCGACATAGCCAAATGGTCATCTCGAGTGCCTGGCGCACGTGGCGTGTAAGTACTGGCTGCTCTGCTTCATTTGCATGTCTAACTATTATAATTTGTGTATATATTTATATTAAATTTTTTGTTATTTTTATATTTACATAGGAGTGCCGTTTTGGCATTCCCTTCACGGGCCGTAGGCATTTGTGGAGTTTATATCGCGTTGTAAGCATTGCATGTTCTTATCCCCACCGTCATACCCAATAACCCAGTAAAATACCTATACCAAATGAATACTAATAGCCACTTTCTTTGATGATAAAAGGCCCGCGAGGAGTATCGTACTTTAAAGTATAAACGCCAAGTAAAATGGGCCGTGGATGTCATTGCACGAAACTACCATCAGTGGAAGATTCGACAATATTTGCTCACCATACCGCTGCGCCTGCCACCCAATACATTGAGTCCACTCTCTTCAGAATGGCCAACGGCTCCTGGCTTCCTGTCAGATGCTTCCCGTCTGCTGCGAGCCATCTATCATCGCTGGAAATGTTATATATATCGCAATTCGTTCGATCAAACGGCAC